TGGCTGGAAACTGTAGTTTTATAGAAGGCATCCTAAGTTTGACTTCTAAATGAGTTTGTTTCCAAATCATTAGTTTAGATTCATTTTCTTTTGTCTGACACCAACTTTGAGGGCTGCAGAACCCTGCCTCAGTAATGTTGTGCATTAAAGGAAAACAAACATTTGGTGCTAGGTCATATTTCCACAGCAGCTTACAGAAAAGGTGGTATGAATTGTTTTGATACCAACTTTCAAATAAATATTTGTTCATAAAAGCAAGTCCATGTGGCAGAAGTCAATCTAAAACTTGCTTTTATTAAAACTTACACTAGATCATCTTAAGCTTCTTCAACAGTTACCAACTTGTGACAACCAGAATCTGAAGTTAGTTCTCACACTGGACTGTAGGTGGAGACTACACTGGAGTGAGGAGTGAGGCTCACATTTAACCTTTGGCTTTAGACCCACAGGAGGAATGGCCATTAAGCCTGATGAATAATAAAAAGTGAGTATGCAGTTAAGCAATCATTCTCTAAGCTGTGGTTGTTGAAAGACCAAACAAAAGTGTTGAATCTGGTAAGCAGAGGCATTATCAATTATCAATAGAAATAAAATGTGTGCACTGGAAAGAAAATTTCAACTTTTTTTGGATACATTTTTTATACAGGGAAGCAGCAATAAGAATCAAAAGTTTAAGAATCAAATGTTTCACAAAATAATCCTTACTCTTACTAAGGAGGATGCACTGTGGCTCATTCCATTAGAATGCTATTTTAAGGGGTTCATTTTGTTATTAAAAAGTGCTGTTCACAAAACACTAGATTGATTTGGCACGAGAGTTTGTAGATTGTGGTTTGAAAAACATTGGGATGATGGGCACAGCCGATCAGAATATTTGATACTTTGGTTCAATGGTGAATGGCTGAGCAAATAAGAGCCTTGGTTTTTCAGACCCAAGACCCAGAACCTATTACCTCATGAAAAAGATTAAGGACAAAAAGGACAGCTGAATTAAGGAATTAAGAGTTTGAAGAATTTTATTTTGTTTTCTTGTGTAAGGAGAGATTAATTACAGCCTCTGAGATCTCCAGAGCTGTGTTTGCTTCAGTCAGGCCTCCTTATCTCCTTCTGACCTATCTCAGTGTCTACCTTTTCTTTCATTTTCTTCTAACATCACTTCAGGTGGACCCTGTCACTTCTAAGCATGCGTGTTTGACAAATAGAAGCCATAACTAACTGAGCACCGTGAAGCTTAAGTTTGCAGCTCAATAAACAACAATGAACTTGGCCCCTAATTCTTTCTTGTTGCAACAATGGGGGTCAATGATCTTCCTCCTTGTCTTCCTTTGGCATTGAGAGGGAAAAGAGGGCAGTTCTCCTGCCTGCCTAGGAGATGCAGGTACCTTTATTTTTCTCTCTCCTTTCCCTAAGAAACTTGCCCTTTTAAAGTATTGAGAAAGAAAGAAAGAGAGGGACTAAGGAATGTGAGTGGGAGAGGAAGGAATCTAAACAGATTGACCAAGTCCGATGCTTTAAGATAAGTGGTTGAATCAGAAACTCTTTACATAAGTTTAAATGATGGCTCAGCCAAGAAAAATAGCATATGATGTTTCACTCCTATGTAGAATATAAGCAAACAAACAACAAAAACAAAGCACCTGAATAAGCAAACTCTAAGAATCAGACAACAGATGGGTGGTTACCAGAGGGAAAGAGAGTTGGGTGTGTGTGTGAAAAGTCAAGAGAGAGAGGGTCAGCTGCATAATGTTGCATCGAAACTAGACTTTCAGTGGTGACCACATTGCAGTGAGTATGTCAAAGTTCAGTGTGTATACCTGCAACGTATAATGTTATAAACCAAAATTCTCTCAGTAATAAAACAAAGATAAATGTTGGAACCTTAAAGAAGCCAAGTCTAGCCTGAGGCAAACTTCAGCTTCAAGTTCTGAAGAATGACCATAACAGTGTATTTAGTCAAGTCTTTTATTGCAGGATTTAGACTCATCTAGCTTGCCTCTCCCCCTGAATCACCTGAATGTGTTGGACATTATGAGGTTTGGGGCAAATTATATATGTGAGAGGCCAGGGCCTACCCTGACCTGCTAGATCAAAAACAACAGGTTTTCTGTGCTCGTAGTAGGATTATGCACTGGAGTTCTCTGACATATCACCAACAATCAGAACTCAGTTCTGCTGAATTGTCATAAGGCTAATAATGGATGATAGCCATTCTCAGTATTCTGAAAACAACTCTGAGGATAAATCTAACAGTTACCAACTGGGAAACATACACTTTCCCCTCTAATGATCCTTAGGACTAAAACAAATCTATTTAAAAACCAACACTCTCCAAAAAAAAGCATATAAATTTTTAAAAGTTGGACATTATAGTCTAAGTCAAGGAAATATTTCAATGTATATTCAAGTATTTAAAAATCAATCAAGTGAAGTCAAGTTGGATTCATTTTTCCCACACAGAGACAACTTGGGTCTCTTGCTACCAAGTAATACCAAGTAAAACGCAAGAACAAGCAACTGGTGAACATTTTAAAATGAAGTTAAAAATTAAATTGCAAAACCAAGCCACAATTTCTGACTTGGATAATTCTGGGTTAGAAGTATTTCACATGGTCTTTAAACTCTGAAGGTGTTGATTATTTATCACAGGGTCCAGAGTCTCGAAAATGACTCAGGGAAAAATCTTTTACGCAGGAAAGTGAAATTTGCATCCCCTATCCCCTACATAGTGGCGTTGGATTACCCATGCTTAAATCCCAGCGTGTAGATGGAACAAATCTGCCTTTCCTTTTCCTTCTTTACCTAAAAAAGATGATCATAAAGCCTTCTTGAAGAAAACACGAGGAGGTTATAAAATAAATGCTTGGAAAATAGTAACTCTGATTTCTCCCAAACATGAGCACCTCCTTCTGAATTCTTGATTTCAGCAATGAACTCTATAGGGTACCCAAAGTTTGTTTACTCTCCCACAATACTGTTCAAATAGTCAAATTCAAAATTGAAAAGCCATCTTCTCAGGGACCATAAACTAAGAAATCAAAGCCCGAGTGATGACTAGAAGGTAAAACCAAGGGAATTCATGGGAATGCAGAACCAGACACAATTTTCCCCGGCTGGAAACTGATTCCAATGCTCACTTAGGGAGAGAAGTCAGCATGGTGAACCTAGAGCCTGGGGGAGCTGGAAATGTACCAGCAACATTAAACTGAGTCGGAGAGCTTGGCCTCATTCTCAGAGAAGACAAACAGAACATACACACATTTAGAAAGCAGTGAGGATGTTTCAATCAGTGGTGTAAATGAAAACAAGTCAACAAAGAGAAATTGAGAGCACTAGGCCTCCACTGTGCCCATGTGGGTATTCTAAATTCATGTCGCATTTTTCTCCAATTAGTTATAGATGGTCCATACTGCATGATAGCATGTAAACAAATGTAGAAATAATGCAAAACATTATTTTATAAACATTGTTTTATATAAACATTATTTATATTATTTTATATATTTATTTATGCATACAAGAGCTTGGGTATAGGCCAGAGATGCGGGGGTGAGAGAATTAGCCAGAGACAGAGTGGGGAACAGTACAGGCAGATTGACCAAAGTACACTGCTGAGGGGAGCAGAGGGAGAGCCAGGAGAGGTCTGCTGCGCCATGTGGGTTGCTCCCTGGCCGGTGGGGCATCTAACTTGTGCTGCAGAGGCTGCGGATTGCTTCATAGGGCGGTGCTTAACACCTTGCGCCACCAGGGAGGCCCTATTTTATATAGTTTATGAACAACTCCCAGATGTTAAAAATAGAAAAATATGGAGAAACCTCACTAAAGTTATATCAGCTTTTTGGGGGGGTGTGTGTGAGTGTGTATAAAGAATGGACTGGGAAAACATCAGCGTGAAGTTCAGGTTTATCTGTAATATTATAGCACATGTATTTCAATAATAAAAATTAAACTTACACGAAGAAAACACAATAGTAAGGAAGAAAACAGTACTCAATTTCTTTTTTTCTTAATTTTATATATATATTTTATATCATTCTTCCTTTTTGCACAATGTATGCCTTCTTCTCTCAGGTATAGTCCCTGTAAAATTCCCACCACCAATTCCCCTGTGAACCATCACCATAGTCCCTATGCTCTTTCCTCCCCTGTTTTGATCCTTCTCTCTCCCCCTGTAGAATGTCTCTGATTTATAGTTGCCTATTAATTTTTTTTAATTTATTATAATTATTTTTTCCCTGATCCCTTGTTTGGTTCCCCTACATTCCTCCTATAATTGAAACCATACATTATTTTTCTTTTTTGTTCTGGCTTATTTCATTGAGCATAATTCTTTACAGTTCCATCCACATTGCTGCAAATGGCATGAGTTTATCTTTTTTGATTGCTGAGTAATATTCCATTGTGTATATTTTAGTATTTTCTTGATCCAGTCATCTATTTTTGGGCATTGGGTTGTTTCCATATCTTACCTATTGTAACTAGTGCTGCAATAAACATAGGGGTGCAGGTGTCCTTTCAAATTAATGTTTTTGTGTCCTTTGGGTAGATTCTGGGAATGGAATTGCTGGGTCATATGGAAACCCCATTTTTAGTAGTTTGAGAAACCTCCACACAGCTTTCCATAGTGGTTGGACCAGTTTGCATACTGCTTTCTCTTTTTTTTTCACCTTTTCACAACAGAACTAAAGGTATTCAAGACGTGACAAAGCAAAGCAAAACCACACACAGATTTCTGACCTAGAGAACACATCTGAGGTTGCGGAGCTGTGCCTGAGGGAACAGCTAGGGAAGGGCACCCCAGCGAGAGAAGGAGGCAGAGCTACAAAGGATTCAGATTCCCAGTTGCCAGGGACACACTTATGAAAACTTCCCTCAGGTCACTTGGCCAGAAGAGCTTCCGATTCAACCTCATTTGATGAATTGCATTAATGATTAACTTCTCAAGTCTTAGCAAAGAAGTCTCAACTGTTCACTGACCAGAAGGTGAAAGGAGAGAACTGAAGGAAGAGCAGTTAAATTGATGTCTTTCCTCACATACGAAGCTGGTAAGTCGCTTACCTTGGTGTTGATAAGAGATCTCTAAGGGACCCTTCTGTGTAGCCATTGACCATTTTTAGCAAAATCCCAGGTTTCTCATCTTAATAAAAAAAAATGAGTGAAAATGTGAAGCCTCCATTTCCTTTACGAAGTAGAGAAAAGAGCCATAGAAGCAGGAAGCTGAGGTTCTGTGCCTGGTCATCCATACACTCTGGAGATCTTGCCAACTGTGGAAAATAATTCCAAGAAATGTGAGGTGAGGAGTTTACAAGCTGAATTTTGGGGGTGAATTTTGAGGGCTTGTAGGCAAAAATCTGTTCTTTCATTTAGCAACTGGATCATATGGATGGAGAAGTTCAATAATATCTCCATCTGGGGTTGATATAAGCTGTCTAATTCAGGAGCTCATATAGTGCCGAGAGTGACTTTGGACCAGAAGATGGTGGGATATTCAGGAAAAGCTGCAGGGTAGTTGTGGGAGGATGAATGCAACCTCCAGATAGAGAAAACTGGTGACCACATCTCCATCTCTCACATGAAGAGTTGCTGCTGTCCCCAACCCCCAGGAAAGTTGTACTGGGCTCAGTAGATCCACTTTAGCAACTGTGCTATTCTCAGTGCCCTAAGGACTCCCATCTTTGTAATAGAGTTTATTGCCTTAGTTTCCCAATCAGATCAAAGTTATGGTCCAGGACTTTGACAGGACTAGAGGTGGCTCCAATCCATGACAACATCTAGAGGAATGCTGGGTCAAGAACCAAGACAATCAACAATCAAATGAAAATGGCTGGAGAGTACAAGAGGAGTGTAGAGATGAGGCCATGGAATCCTCACTTGAGCCAGCAGAATAGTGTAGGTGGGCTGGGGACAGTTGGGAGGAGGGATTCACGGTGAGTTCTCAAGTTGGGAATGTTGAAGCTGCAAATTTTGGTGGTATTTGTGACCGTATGATGTGTAGGGAACATGTTATTAATAGCACACCCCCCATCTGTAAACCTGATGGTTTCTGCAGGAAGCACATCCACAGTGTGATTCCCTACAAAAACATCTTTGAACCGGAAACATCTCAGGATGCCATATGCTATCTCTGACCAAGGCAATCTGTGCAGTTTTCTGAATCAATAGAGAAAATAATATATATGTTATATATGTCATATATATGCATATGTATATAGAGACATATATACCTACACACTTGGTCATCAAATGAATAATTTTGCTTTGTTCAATGTCATTTCCTTATAATATTGATGAGAAAAAGCCAGTTAATTTCCAGGCCCACCATATTGCCTGTGTGGAGTTAGCAGGTCCTCCCCATGTCTGTGTGGGTGTTCAATGGGTCCTCTGTTTTCCTTCCACTTCCCAAAGATGTGCACATGGGGTTCATTGGTGTGTCTAAATTGTCCCAGCCAGAGTGATATGTGTAAACATGTGAGTACGCTCTAGAATGGAAAGGCATCCTGTCCAAGCGTGGCTCTCCCCTTGCATCCTGAGCTGCTAGGATAGGATTTGTCTACCTGTGACCCTGAACTGGAGTAAATGTGTTTTAAAATGAGTAAGTGAATGAATGGATGAACAGGGATGGTTATTAAATATAAAAAAGTATTTGGGGTATTTATTTAGAAATTTGATCATTTTTGAGTAGAAATATTCTGCAGGTTCTCAAATCCGTTTTCTATTAATTAACACTATAGTAAAATTGTCTTTGTTTTATGTTGTTTTGCTTAAAGTCACAGTTTCCAAGAACCTATTGAGGATATTAAGAGATGACTTATTGTATAGATATCTAAAACAATGCATAAAATATGTTTGTATTTTCCATGAATGTATATATATATGTGCATGTGCATATGTGTGTATATGTATATGAATATTATGTTTGTATATGAATGTATATATTGTATTTTACACTGATTAGATTGCATCAATCCTTAGATGTCAATAAACTATAGGTACATTAAGGATCCTTGTTTTCTGAAACAAGGATCTATGGGTCATGGTGATAAATGACATTTAAAATTATGGAATTTAGTTGTGCAACTATGACAGGAGGAAACTCATTATTGCTCATTTCATTGAGAACCACCACCCCCATGGGAAGTTGGAAGGTCTACTAATTCTCACACTATGCTTACTGTTGCAGAGGACTTTGATCTGAGTATCTCAGGATAGCAAATAAAATGAACTTGAATCACAGGCACCAGATAGATTTCATACTCATTCTTTCAATGCAGAAACTGAGCCTTTGCTACTTGAGAAAAAAATACTTCTTTATAAATTGTTTATCTCTGACATTCCTGGAACAAGAGTGCCAAATGCTATAATGTCCACTAGGAATTTTTAAGTGTTGGTAGCCAAATAAATATGTGAATTTATTAATTGATGATTGCATTAAGGGTGGAGGCTCAAGGTAAAGGTGTGTTGGTTCTCCTTTACCTGGTGATATGTTGGTGAATATTTTACAACTGGATTTTCATGGGGGAAATATATATATACAGACATGATAGTTTAAAATAATTCTACTAATACAAGGCTCTGCAATTTAAAAATAATAATAAAATATATGATACTATTTATGATAAATTATGCATGTAGTCAATTGAATCTCATGGACTACTTTCTTTTTTCTTCAATTTTAATGAGGTATAACATAGGTATTAATATGTAAGGTGTACAATTTTCTTCCTTCCATTTCTACCTTTTTCTTTTCTTTTTTTTCAAAACTCTTGTGTCTAGGCAACCTGCGGTTGAAATTCAACCATAACACACATGGATTTGTATTCAATCTGCCAGTTCTTCCATATATATACTCATTAACTCTTATTGATGATCTATTGTAGAATTATTGCTCACACACACACAAATTATGTCCATTAAACTGAAACCACTTTCAACTTCAGCACTATGAATTACACTAGTTCTATTTTTTAGCTTTCTGTATTTAGAATTAAGTAAACTATACTTAAAAAAAAGTAATTAATAAAGTTCATCACTTCATGATTTTTCACTGCATTTTATCACCACTTATGTTTTTGAGTTGGTTTATGTCTCTGTATCCATATGGTAGAAATTCTATATAAAGTCATGTTATCGAGTATTTAACTCTAAATTCAGTGAATTCATGTTGGCTATTTTTAACCTCAAAAAGCACAAATGCCTCAAATTTGGGCTTGAGTTATTGACATTGGAACATTGTCTGAGTCTACATTACAATCCACAAAAAAGCTTGAACTATTCAAATTAACTTCATGTCAGTGACATCTGCCATGCCACTTGAGGATTTACATCAACTTTCTGATACTAATGTGCTTATTTTACATTTAAAATAACATTGAGTTAAAATACCCCATTTTCCAGTAATATTGTCCATGAACTTTTCTATTTCTCACAAATTCACTCTGAGTTTTTAAAGTTTTCTTACCACATCACTATAGGGCCACAAAAATCTGACTATAAATATATGTTTCATTAATATCAAATTAAGAGAAAAAGCTGCACACATTATCAATAGGGAATAGAGTTCTAATACAATATTGTATGACAAATTTCTTAAGTGCAGGATGTCATTAGCTTTGTCTTTTTTGGAGGGGCTATTAAAGCTTCCAACAGGACATCACTGACTGCAGAGTTAAGATACATAGCAGCCTGTATTTATATATATGAGTGTAGATGTAGGGACATAAATGAATGTGAGAATATATGACAGTAAAATGCAAAGAAATAATTATGAAGTGATGAGCTTTAAATAGTTAACATATTTTAAAAGTATAGTTTATTTAATTCTGGATTTGTATAATTTAGTTGCTGATAGTGGCTCTTTCAAAAATGAGCTTGCAAAATTCCTAAAAATTTAATGAAGAACTTTTGTGGGTCTGTATGAACTGACTTCAGTATACCACAGTCTTAATCCTCTTCTGCCTTTTTGAGGGAGCCATGTGGGGTGTTCTCTTGTTTTCTTGGCTCATTCAGCATCTTCTATGCCTTCAACAATTTTTATATTTTGCTGTGTGATATAACTTACTATTCCTGAGTTGTTTTCAGATTGTTTTATTTCTTTTTAGGATCTCCATTTAACCTTCTTCTACAAAAATCCAGCCACTCTCCTATCCAGAAAGTTTTGAATTTCTTGGATAAGGCAACTGTCAGATGCCAGGTAACCCTCATCAAAGCATCTAAGGTAGGGGAAACCAAGAATGTATTCCAGCACCAATAGTTTTTGTTGTTTTTTTTTTAAGACCCAAATTTATTTATTTATTTATTTTGAAGTTTCTTTTTTTTTATTTTAAATAATAAATTTTATTTTTATATTCCCCATACAATTGCAACCCCCCCATTCTGACCCCAATCCCTCCCCTCCTGCCCCCCACCCCTCAAAAAGTGTCTCTGGTTCATAGTTTTTTGTTGAGTTTGATTTTTACTTTCTTATAGTTATTCATTTTCCTGGTCCCTTATTTAAGTTTTCTAGATTCCTGCTATGAGTGAGACCATCCGGTATTTTTCTTTTTCTTTCTGGCTTATTTTGCTGAGCATGATCCCTTCCAGCGCCATCCACGTTGCTGCAAATTGCATGTGTTTATCTTTTTTGAATGCTGAGTAATATTCCATGGTATATATGTACCACATCTTCTTGATCCAGTCATCTATTTTTGGGCATTTGGGTTGTTTCCAAATCTTAGCTATTGTAAACAGTGCTGCTATAAACATAGGGGTGCAGGTGCTCTTTGGAATTGATGTTTCTGTGTCATTTGGGTAAATACCTAGGAGTGGAATTGTCCAGCATCAATAGTTAAGGGACTCAGTTTTAAGCATCCATTCTTGGTTGCTAATTTGGTTATATACAAATGTGGGCGTTATTTCTGAACTCAGACCCAACTGCTAAGGGATTAAATTTTGACCACTGAGATTTATCTCCATTTCTTCCTGCCAGATCATATATATATATATATATATATATATGCATATATATATATATATATGCTTTCACTTTTTCATATTATGGGTCAGGTAAAAACAACTTCTTAATCCCAATTATCGATTAATTAAATGGGAGAATATTTCTAATTTTATTTTATTTTATTTTTGAAGATTTATTTATTTTTATTTATAAAAGCACTGGGTACAGTCAGAAGCGCAGGAGGGTGAGAGAATTCACCAGAGCCAGAGCGTGGAGCAGAACAGCTAGATGGACAAAATACACTGCTGAGGGGAGCAGTGGGCGTGGCAAAAGAGGTCTGCATGCCATGTGGGACCCTCGCCCAGCGGCTGAGGATTGAACTGGCGCTGCAGAGGCTGCAGGCAGCTTCACAACCCAGCGCTCAACCGCTGCGCCACTGGGGAGGCCCATATTTCTAATTTTAAAGCCAACAGATTCCATTTACAGAAACTGTATTCATTTGAGGCAGTCATAGTCCAAGTTAGTGACTATTAGTATTGCACTAAGCAATTCTTCTTGACTAGTCATCCAGTCTTTCCATCATGTAACTAAGAACAAGAAGCAGCATCTGGTGTTCTGTGAAGAGGTGAGAGAGCTGAGCAATTCACCTTCCTCTTAACTGGGGGATAATCTCATATTCACTTAGAACTGAAATGTGACATTCAGAACGTTCCTGTCCAAACAGCCCCACAGTAGGGGTCACAGCCTTTACCATGTAACTTACCACTAACTTACATTGACTGACATATTAACAGGACATGGAAGTGAGGACTAACTATCACTCATGGGGAAAAGCTGTTATTGGGAACAACATGTTCCTGCTCAGCGTTGCCAAGTTGCACAACATGATGCCACATCTCTGGCATTTGGTAAAATATCTTTCAAATAGTCTTTGTGTTTAGAATTAGGGCAATTTCCCTCAGTATGAAAGATCAAATTTTAAAATGACCTGCCTACACCATGGAATTAGAAAGTTTAATACCAAGATTGGAAGAAACACTTCTCTAAGGAAGATATGTTAATAGCAAATAATAACATGAAAACACTCTCAACTTTGTTAGGTGAATATTAAAACCACAGAAAGATATTACTCTACATCTCTTAAAATATTGAAAATTAAAAAGACTGACCACACTAAATTGTTGAGTATGTGGACAATCCAGAACATACTCTATTAATGGAAATCTAAAATGGTACAACTACTTTGGAAAAAGTTTACCATTATCTGAAAAAAGTTAAACATTTACTTGTAAAATGACCCAGTCATTCCACTGCTAGGTATTTATCTAAAAGAAATGAAAGCACATGTCTAAACCAAGACCTGTGTAAGACTCTTCACAGGAGCTTATTTTAATGGCGACTACAAACAATGTAATTGTTTTATCAAGAAGTGAATGGATAATTAAACTGTTATAACCGTGTAATGAAATGTAACTCGGAAATATAAAAAAAATGAACTATTGATTTACATACTATAGATGAGTCTTAAAAGAATTAAGCTGAGTGAAATAACCAGGAAAAATAAGTGAGTGCACCTTATATAATTCCATTTCTATAATAAACATTTTAGAAAATTCAAGATAATCTATATCAGAAGAAAGCAGATCATTGGTTGCCAAGGAAGAAGAGCAAAACAAATGGGGGAGGGGCGGGAGATGCCACAGGGAAGGATTATAAAAAGATAGGAGAAAACTTTTAGGGAGTAATCATCATAGTTCACTATATGTCAGTCATACCTCAATAAGCGGTTTAAGGAAAATATAACTAGAAATAGGAGGAGGTATCCAAAGGCCACACTCTGAACATAACCTGCAACCCAGTAGGATAATTTTAACATAAAAAGAAAGTTGCAATCTAAATTGTGTAGTTGTATATGGACTCACCTTTAAATCGTGTTTCCATAATGTGATTTAGGAGACATTCATGTGAGAAATACTAATATAATAGTTGGAACGTAAAAAAACAAGAATGGTATTTAGGGATATTTTAAAAGTAAACTTGGACAGGTAAGTGGGAATAGACAGACATGTGTCCCTTTGTCTTTTTTTATGTCTACTTGTAAAGTTCATGTATATAAAGAATGAATGATTCTGGATCCTAGGAGTACGGCAGGTGGTTGAGGAAAAGCAGTATCTAAGAACAAAAAAGGACCCGGAAATCTCTGTCACCATACACTGTTGTGAAAATAAAAAAGCAGCAAAGAGCTGGAGAGAATGCCACTGTATGTTCTAATGGGCAGCCCACTGCCCGGAGGTGAGCCCTCGGCCCTCCGGAAAAAACATCTCAGAATAATGAAACCTCTAAGAATAAAGAGATGTTAAGAAATCTTACCTCAGTTTGCAACAATTGCATTCTACCAGATTTAGTCAAGCGCCAATATTTAAAAGTTTACCCCAACCTTGTTTATTAAGCCAACAGCCTTGATTTACTCGTGATATAAGTAGTTATATATTTTGAAAAATTTTCTTGAAGAAATTTTATACATTTAGTAAATTGAGCACTAAATATTGCACAAATATTCTAATCCTACACACAGTACCACACAAAAATCCCCTGGAGTATTTAAGATACTAGTATTGCAAGCAGTAAAGATTGTTTTTAAGTCCTAATATGCAAAAATATGTGGAACTCTGTAGAAACACCCTCATGGCCAAAATCAATGTAGGATTAGAAATTTATCATCTCATTATGCAAACTTCGTTCCCAGTTACTAGTGACACATGCATCAGCAACACTCACAGTGGGTCCAGCAGGGAAGCAGGATGGGAATCACTGGGACTGCAGAAGCCAGGTCTCATGTGCAGTAGAGGGTCCAGTAAAGCACAGCTCTGAGCTGACCCCTAACTGTGAGATTTCCAAAGATGGTGACATCAAGCACTTGCTAGGCATGAGCAATCGCGAATCCTTACAATCCTTGCTAAAGGTGCTGCTGCTGCTGTGATTATTTCTGTCAGCAACACATGGGAAACTGAGACACCTTTGCTACTAGTGGTTTGGGCACATTAGCTAAATCATAGCCTGCAATTGAACTTGCAGATGCCTAGTTCCAAAACCAGCACTCTTTTTTTAAAAAAAATTATTTATTTTGTACATCATTGTTCCTTTTTAAGCAATATTTGCTTCCCTGCCCCCAGGTGTAGTTCTCATAGAATTTCCTTCACTAATGCACCCGTGCACCATCACCACAGTCCCCTGTGCTCCTCCCCTCCCCCTCTGATTGCTCTCCCTCCTCCTCCCCTGCAGGATGTCTCTGAAAACCAGCACTCTTGAAGTGTACACAGTGAGCACTCTAGATCCTAAATACAAACAGTTCTAGACCCCAGGTACAGTATACCTGTTGCATTACACCAAGAGGGACAAATGATCCCCTCTGTACCCCATCCTGATGAAATGGCCCAGCCTTTGCTTGCTTGGTACCCTCTGTTTAAATGTTCCAAAGGAGTCTCTTTCTCTTGGCTGGCATCTGTGGATTACATATCTCCCTTGTAGGTGAAAGCCAGTCATCAGGAGAGAAGAACACTATGGCCTCCGTTACAGAGTTGAAACCCACAGCAGATAACAGTAAATTCTCCCAAGATAAACAAACAGAGAAGAAGCTCAGAAAAGGTAAACGCAACCTAAACTCTTTTTAGGATTTATGGTTATTCTTTATCTACAACGTTGTAATACAAAGAAATGAATTTATATCTTGTAATTTGTTCAGTTCTTTTAAAATATCAAGTAAAATAAATGTACATTTTGCAAACATAGGAGGGCAACAAATACCAATATTCTTTTTTTTTTGGATGATCCTTATTTATTTATTTATTTATTTAATTTTTTTAAAGATTTATTTATTTATTTATTTTAATTTTTTTATTTTTATATTCCCCAAACAATTGCAACCCCTTTATTTTGACCCCAGTCCCTCCCCCTCACCCCCCTCCCCTCATAAAGTGTCTCTGGTTCATAGTTGTTTGTTGATTATGATTTTCATTTTCTTATAGATATTCATTTTCCTGGTCCCTTATTTAAGTTTTCTAGATTCCTGCTATGAGTGAGACCATCCGGTATTTTTCCTTTTCTTTTTGGCTTATTTCGCTGAGCATGATCCCTTCCAGCGCCATCCATGTTGCTGCAAATTGCATGTGTTTATCTTTTTTGAATGCTGAGTAATATTCCATGGTGAACAAATACCAATATTCTAAAAGGATTTTATTTTAATGTTTGTTCATATGTATTTGTATTTATGATAATTGCTACCAAGTTGTCTCAATTTAATATTTTATATATTTGCATTATTTAATTAGGTAAAGAAAAATTTAATACGACCACCCATATTTTCCATATTGCTTTATGGTACAACCATTGTTCTCTCTCTGTCTTTTTTTTTTTTAAAGATTTATTTATTTATTTATACAAGCACTGGGTACAGTCAGAAACGCGGGAAGGTGAGAGAATTCACCAGAGCCAGAGGGGAGAGCAGAGCAGGCAGAGTGACGAAATACACTGCTGAGGGGAGCAGCGGGCAGCAGGAGAGGTCTGCGCACCATGTGGGACCCTACCCCGGCGGCCGGGGATCCAACTGGCACTGCATAGGCTGCGGGCAGCTTCACAACCCAGCGCTCAACCGCTGCACCACCGGGGAGGCCCTGTCTTTTTTTTTTTTTTTTTAAGATTTATTTATTTATACAAGCACTGGGGTACAGGCCAGAAGCGTAGGAGAGTGAGAGAATCCACCAGAGACAGAGCAGGGAGCAGAACAGGCAGACTGACTGAAATACACTGCTGAGGGGAGCAGCAGGCGAGACAAGGAGGATCTGCCGCGCCATGTGGGAATCGAACCGGGGCCGCAGAGGCTGCAGACAGCTTTACAGTGCTGCGCTCAACCAGCTGCTCCACTGGGGAGGCCCTAAACCATTATTCTTAAAGGATACATAATATTATTCCAAAATATGTACTAGCTAAAATGTTATTTGCCTGAAGAATCCTATTGTGATAGGATATTTAAGTTGCGGAGTTCTGTTTTGTTAATCGACTATTTTATATATGTATGCACACATCTACACATACTTTGGCTTACCTGGTTTTTCTTTTCTGGGCCTGACAAGGCTGCAGTTACATCTTGTAACTGTATTTTCATTTGTGGCTAGACTCAGGAAGAAACTCATTCCAAGCTCACTTAGGTTGTTGGTGAAATTAGGTTTCCTTACAGATATACAGCCAAGGGGTCTGGATGTTAGCTACACACAGTTCTCACTATGTGAGACTCTCCAACTTTCTGCTTATTTCATTAAACCTACAAGAACAGTGCCTAGCTTCAGTTTGCTTAGATGGTGTCACATGTAACAAAATGTAATTATGAGAGGGCCTCCCTGGTGGCGCAAGGGGTTAAGCACCACACTATGAAGCAATCCGCAGCCTCTGCAGCACAAGTTCGATCCCCGGCCGGCCAGGAAGAAACCCATATGGCGCAGCAGACCTCTCCTGTCTCGCCCGCTGCTCCCCTCAGCAGTGTACTTCCGTCAGTCTGCCTGTTCTGTTCCCCACTCTGTCTCTGGTGAATCCTTTCACCCCCCACATCTCTGGCCTATACCCCAGCTCTTGTATGCATAAATAAATCTTTAAAAAAAAATGTAATTATGAGAGAGACATCTTCTTTGCTGGTTAGAAGCAACTCATAGGTCCTTTCCCTGCACAAAGAGAGGGAATCACACAAATGTGTAAGTGCAATATGTTGTTAATCACTGGGGATCACCTTAGGATCTGTTTGTTACATCAGGTTAAAAAAAGCTCCTGGACTTTGACTAGAATAGTGTTGAATATCTCAATTTTACTTTCCAGTTTCAAAAGTTGATGACTCACAGTGTCAATCAATGCTCTCTTTAAGTGGTTAAATATTATGCCTTCAGGACATTTATTAATTCACAAACACACTCCCACATTCTTACGTAGCTTGGGGTCAGTGAGAATATTTAACAGCATTGGCACCAACCTCGTAAAGTAGACATGACTGGAACAATTCATTCAGAATAGATACAGGGCACAAATAACTTTTAAAAACACCTATACTAACCTGTGGGGAACATAATATCCAGCAAGCATGAGGTTAAGTCTTTAAAAATACATCCTCTAGTTCATCATTCAACAACCTCACTAAGACAGGTGCTCACCCTACTCATTTTTGCCCTACTCATTTGTGTGACATTAGCTTCTTGGTTTGCTAATACTTGCTTTTAGTAAACTTTGGCCTCTGAGAGCTCAAGTCAACTTAGGGAAATCAGAGGCCCAGGAACCCAAAGATAACTAGTTGATTGAATTGATACAGTCACCACCCAACCCTGAATCAGAAGGGAAAACCTTTACAAAGATGTTATATTTGAGCTCCTCTCTCTAATTACAATATATCCCCAGGTTTCTCCCAAATTCTTCCCTCCCAGGCCTCTCATTCACTACACTTCTTTTAAGTGTGCTCCATTTAAAAAGAAAACAATATGGGTTTATTTATTTGTTTATTTTTGAAGAAAGCAATGTGGCCTTGAGCGAAAGCCTCTTCAGCCTCTTTGTTAATCTCAAGGTGCCTCTTTCAAAGCTTTGAGTACTTGTTGATGAGTCAAGGTGTTGTCCTCCTATCCCCTACCACAGATGAGTGTACTTGGGTAGCAAATGTGGTCTCATGGAGTCACCTGGAACAAAATAAACACCCCCCATATACATGCAGTACAATGGATAGGAACATAGGCATCTTAACACTCTGAGCTCTTCTCTCTGCACTGTGTTTTCCTAATCTATAAAATGAGATAACAGTAGTAGCTGCCTTGTAGGATTTTTGTAATGATTAAATGAATTGACTCTCACCCATCACATTATATGACCTCTCAGGAGCATCTGACACCCTGACTTCCTAGACACCATACTCTTCTGGTTTCCTTCCTAGCCCGCTAACCCTCTTTTTTAGCTTTCCTTGCTAGCTCCTTCCCATTCATTTAAACTCTAAAGACTGAAGAGTTCCATTGTCTTCTCTATTTATTCTTGTTTCCCATATATAATGGCTTCAAGTATGATCTGTAGGTCATTAACTTCCAATGGTATGCCTCAAACCCTGCCTCTTTTCTAAACTCTATACTTGTATATTCAACAGCATTCTCAACACCTTCTCTGGGTCTCCAAAATGCACTCCATCTTAACTATCCACTTTAAGTTCTTATCATTCCACTCCCCCAAATTCTGTTCCTTCCACGGAACTTCCTTATTTAATGAACAGCAACTCCATTCTTTTAGCTTGTTAGAACAAGAACCTCTCCCATCCCCTCTCTGCCCTATAAAATTGAAACCCCAACTTAGTGATGCTCCTGTGCTGGAGTTTATATGGAATCTGATCACATCTTCACTCCCCTACTGCTACACCCTACTTCAAGTTTCTTTGCTTCTCTTCTGGATATTGCAATAACTTCTTCCTGGCAATAACCACCTTTCTTGGAAATACAAAGACAGATTACTTGAATGCTGTGCTCATTCTTCTTCCTCTCTTTTTCACTGAATTGTTTGTGGTTATCAATCATTCTTCTGAGAAAATCTTGCTGGAGGTTTAAGTTCACATAAATGAAGCGTTGTCCTCAATACCTGAAGATTCAGAGAAGGATCATCATTTGCACCAATGAACAACTAACTCCTTTAACATTTAAGTTACATTATATATGTGTATATATTTTATATGTAAGTTATAATAATATAGTACATACATAATATATAAATCAGATGATTTAAATATGTGCACGTTTCTTATATATATTTACTTTTGATATAATATTACATGCCTATATATATGTTTCCTTGTGAGTAATTTTGTCAACTATAGAATGCAATAACCTAAAAATAGGAGAGAAAAAGTAACCAGAAGGGCATTATGCCCCAGTGCAAGACAGGGCTTACAAAATCCTTTGGCTCAACCTAAGTGATTTTCGCCTTCTGTACCTCCCTTTCCTGAAGTCAGTAAAAATGTCCTTTAAATCATCAGATGGGCATATCTGTATTATAACTTGTGAAAACAACTGATGGCTCCATAAAGAAAGCATTAATGTAATGTCACCTTTCCAGTGCCAATCTTATGTTCCACTCGCTATGGAATGGCATTCATCATACATCTCTGCAATTTCATATGGAGGGCACAAGGTGTTATCATGAACATCACCATGGTAACCATGGTCAACAATACAGGCCATCGGCCCCACTTTAATGGTTCTGCTAAAAGACTTCCTGTTGACTCATTGGATGGCCTAAATAATACCCTAAAGTCTCTTCCTATGAGGGTAAGCAATGCAAGATTTCAGTTGTGCTCATGTTTTTGCTGTTTCTTTGGCTAGTTATATTTCTGCCATTATAAGTGAAAAGTTTTAATTGGGAGATGTGTGATTTGAAAGCAAGGGGAAGATTTAAAGAGTCTTTTTTTTATGAGTTTCCTGTAAGTGACTTACTCCAGTATTCTGTTCCTTAAGGTATCTGTGTATGACTGGAGCCCTCAAATCCAGGGTATCCTCTTTGCTTCTATCAACTATGGCATGATTCTGACATTGGCTCCCAGTGGATACCTGGCTGGAAGAATAGGAACAAAGAAAGTGGTTGCATTTTCTCTGTTTGGATCCTCACTTCTCACTCTCTTCACCCCTCTAGCAGCTGACCTTGGACTAGTTTTCCTCATTACAACACGAGTAGTCCAGGGCATAAGCCAGGTAGCCAGATGGTTTATATATATATGGATTGTATATGAATTTTATATGCCACAATTTCTTTATTTATCAAGAATTGTATTTTTATTTTAGGGGTCAGCAGTTGGGGGTCAGTTTGCACTTTGGGAGAAATGGGGGCCTCCACATGAGCGGAGTCGACTTTGCACCATTGCTTTATCAGGTAAAAACATGTGATTGAAATAAGTATACTACAATCCAACATTTTTTTTTTTAAAGATTTATTTATGCATACAAAAGCTGGGGTACAGGCCAGATGTGTTGGGGGTGAAAGGATTCACCAGAGATATAGTGGGGAGCAGAACAGGCAGGCTGACTGAAATACACTGCTGAGGGGAGCAGCGGGTGAGTCAAGAGAGGTCTGCTGCACCATGTGGGTAGCTCCCTGGCCGGTGATCAAACTCGTGCTGCAGAGGCTGCAGACAGCTTCATAGGTTGCATCTTAACCCCTGCACCACCAGGGAGGCCCCTACAATCCAACATTCTTATACTGGTTTATTTGAAAATTTTTTTATTGCATGATTCTTTGTCTTCTGTTCATTTTATTTATAAATTAGGGAGATGGAGTCTTGGTCTGTGACATGAGATTCAGTTATTTTTCCCCAAGTTATCATTTGTGTGAGGACTTTTCAAAAAATATATATTTTTATGTAGTCAATTTGATTGTTCCTTTATGCTTTCATGATTTTGAGTTATACATGGAAAGGTTATAAAAACATCTATCCACGTTTTTCCTTGAACTTGTATGGTTATACTTTTCATATTTAAATTTCTGGCATATTGGAATTTATACTAGTATTCAGTTTGACATATGGATCCAACTTAATCTTTTGAATTATACTCAGTTGTATTGAGAACTGATTTCTTATAATCATCTGCCTGGACAGTGAGCTGGAGGAGAAAGTCTAGATCACATGTGGGAAGAATGAACAGTGGAAAGAGTATGATGAATAAACAGTTGGTTTGCCAATGTGGGTGCTGGATAAGAAAAGGATAACTTTCCAGGTCATTTATGGATATCAAGTGTGCTAGGGATTCTTCAAATCCATAAATTAAGCTATTTTTAGAAATGTTGAAGAGGTATTTGTTGTCAGAGAAATGAGGGTTTGAAAAAACAATATGCGTTGAAAGTTTAATTTGTACAACCTTTTAGCAAGTTACTTCAGCAGTATCTATCAACATTAAAAATATTATAGTCAGTGGGAGCACTATGATAATATCACCACAAGAGGGAGCCTGTAATTTCAAAATACAAACAAAACTACCTCAATAAAAGAAATACATAAATGCACACACATGCACTTATATATACATATATATGTATTCATATATATGTATTCATATATATGTATATATGTGTATATATGTGTATAAATATATAACTGGAGTAAAATACAAAATGAAAATACAGTCTGATCTAGCAAAGCTACTTCTGATATTCTATTCTACGGAAATAAATTGTTTATGTTTAGAAATGCTGATCGTCAATGTTCAGAAAGAGCAATAAAACTAGGTAGAATCTACAGTGACATGGAAAAATAAGATCAATTGTTAAATGAAAAATGGAAGTCACATACACACATACATACATACATATATAATTTGATGAGTCGATGTTAATGTTTATCTGGAAACTAAAATCCATAACAGTCTAAGTTGGGCAAAGATATAAAAAGGAAAAGTGTCCTGTTATAAATGTGAGTAATTTGTGAAACTCTGGAAATAAAGAGTGTTATTAGTGAAGTTTTCTTTCCATATATTACATAAATGCATGCACAAAGAGATGAATGTATCTGTAAATCTATATTATGTATATGTAGAGAGAAAGTGTATACAATTATTTATCAAATAATACATTGTTGCTAATGGTTAAAATTAGAGCAAAAAGTAGAACTGGATTAGCAGGTCAGGTGAGAGGAAATTTTTTTTTAAAGATTTATTTATTTTTATACAAGAGCTGGGATACAGGCCAGAGGCGCGGGAGGGTGTGAGGATTTACCAGAGGCAGACTGGGGAGCAGAACAGGCAGATGACTTAAATACACTGCTGTGGGGGGCAGCGAGCACTACAGGAGAGATCTGCCATGCTGTGTGGGAATCTCCCTGGCCGGCTGGGAATCAAATCTGGACTGCAGAGGCTTTGGACAGCTTCACAGCATTGTGCTCAACCTGCTGTGCCACCAGGGAGGCCGCGAGAGGAAATTTTTGATAATTAATTTTTAAAATAAGCATATATTATACGCTTATCACTGTGATATTTTAAGATAGGCATATATGATATGACATGTAATTAAAAACTCAAATAGCATGAAAGGAAACATGACTGTCATCTGCAATGGGGAACTAGGCATCTGCAAGAGAAAATAGGTCTTAGGAGAACAGATGAACTAAATCAGAAATCCAAAGTTCCCACACTCTAATATGCTCTTCTCTATGGTTTGGCAATTACTGTTCTGTACCAGGTCATCTGTCATTATGTAAGTGTAAAGAGCCCCACATCTTACCCTCCATTTCTTTGCAGGAATGCCGCTGGGAACCTCCATTGCCATCCTTTTGGGTGGTGTCATCAGTCAAGCCCTTGGGTGGCCTTTTGTCTTCTACATCTTTGGTAGGTCTCTTATTCCCAGGTTTTCATATTCAGGAAGATTCTTTAGCATGTCTGTCTTCATGTAGTTTTCTGGAAGAAATGAGCAAAGAAAGAAAGGTCCTAGAAAAGCAAAATATTTTAACATAATATTATAGGGCACAGTCAACTTACACCATCAGAGAATCTGGAAGCCGTCTTACCTACGATACATTATTCACACAACGTGGCTGGGAAAACCTTACTGCCTTTACAGGCAACCCAAGACAGACCTGCAGACCAGTGATTTGTGAGAGATGGAAGAAAGAAATGAAGAGAGATTACGGTTGCTGTGGGTTTTGTCTCAGAAAAATCACAGCAACAAGGGGTCACAGGTAAAGTTCCATTTGCCTAAGGGGAGAAAACACTAAACATTTCTGCCAACTGAAAAATTTTGCCAACCCCAACATTTGCTCAAGAATCTTCCATTTAACTGTTAGAACTCAAGAAATAGTGGTGTCTTTAGACTTTTCTCTGTATATTGTCATGTTGTTTATAAATAGTGATAGTATCACTTCTTTCCCAACTTGGTTTCCTTTTATTTTTTTCTTGCCTAATTGCTGTAGCTAGTACTTTCAATACTACACTGAGTAGTAGTAGTAAAAGTGGACATCCTTGTCTTGTACCTAATGTTAGAGGAAAAGCTTCCCCCCCCCTTTTTTAACCAGTGAATATGATGTTAGCTGTGTGTTTGTCATATATGGGCTTTATCATGTTGAGATAGGTTATTTCTAATCCCCATTTAATTGAGAGTTTTTATCACAAAGGATGACAGACTCTTGTCAAATGCCCTCTTTGCATCTCTTGTTGATGTGATGCGTTACAATGGTTGATATGTATATGTTGGACCATTCCTGCAATCCTGGAATGAATCCCATTTGGTCATGTTGTATGATTCTTTTAATGTATTGTTGAATTTGGTTTGTTAAGATTTTGTTGATGTTTTTTGCATCTGTGTTTATCAGGGATATTGGTGTATAGACTTGTGTGATGTCCTTATTTGCCTTTGGAATTAGAGAAACAATTTTCTTTACCATATATACTTCACTAGCTTTTATAATTCACTTTGAACACCAGTTTGTATACATTTGTTTACAGCCTGTCTCCCATTATGGTTAGTGAGGTCCTTGAAGGAAGAGGCAGAGTCATTTTGGTTCCATGGATCCTGCAGTGTCTCTAGCATCGTTTTTTTGGTTTTTTTTTTTTTATGTACCACATATGAGTGATTGGATAAAGAAGATGTGACATATATATTCACAATGGAATACTACTCAGCCATAGAAAAGATGAAATCCTGCCATCTACAACTTGGATGGACCTAGAGGGTATTATGCTTAGTAAGATAAGTAGAAGGAGAAAGACAAACATTGTATGATTTCACTCATATGTTGTGGGATATATTGTTTTTTTTCTTAACCTAATTTCTTTAACATTCCTTCTGATCCTACACATTAATGGTCTCCAAAAGTACTACAATGTTTTCTCTTGTCAGAACTACATCTATCTGCATTGATGGCCCTTACAGCTTTTATTCACACAGCTCCCTCTGCCTGTGGGAATGAGAATATTCCCTGCTTTTCCTCCTATTGATATCCTGCATCCTTTATGATTCACTCTCCTGTGATGACTTTCTTTCCCTTAGTCATTTTAAGTGATCTTTTTCTTTATGCTCTCAAGTGTCTTGTTCATAATTCACTTCCAGCTGATTCATATCATACTTAGTACAATGTAGTACACAACTGTCTCCTCCAGTAGATGATGGACTCTCCTGTGACAGTGATGGATTTTAGTAGTCTTTGTAGTCCTGCCCCCTGGTAGTGTTAGAAAGACAGACATGTGTGGAACCTAGGGACCCACTACTTTCCACTAGCATTTCACTGTGGCGGGGGGTATAGTCTTGTTGGACTGAACCCTTCTCCTGTAGAGTCTGTGCTAGCTCAGGGTAGTCCATGTCAGAATTGAGCTAGATTGTAGGATACCGCGTTGATGTCCACAGAAAACAGAGAGTTGCTTTGTGTGAAAAACGCACACATTTGGTATCAGAAGTGTTGTGAGCAGACAAATAACTTTCCTTTAGTAATATTTAAAAGGTTGAGATACCAGGTATTGTCCAGTCCTAAGACCTGTGATTTCTACAAACACAAATGAGAAATGTAAAGGAGGGGGAATCTAGAAAGCTGTGCTATTCATGTGACTTTTTTAATGAGTAAGAACGTTCACTAGAAAATGTCATAATATAAAAGAAAATCACATGACGGAAAGAATTCAATTCAGCTGCCAACTTTACTTTCTTCTTGCAGGAGGCGTTGGCTGTGTGTGCTGCATTCTTTGGCTTGTTTTTGTTTATGATGAGCCTGAATCTCACCCATGGATAAGCACCATAGAAAAAGAATATATCATATCCTCGGTGACCCAACAGGTACACATAGGAATAGCCCTCTCCAACTATATTCTGTCAGCATTTAGATTTCTCAGGGAAACAAAGAAATGTGTGAACATGTCTCAGGTTTTACTGTTCTGACCAGTGACTTTGTTTTCAGGTCAGCTCTTCTAAACCGTCTCTTCCTGTCAAAGCCATACTCAGATCGCTACCTTTTTGGTCCATGTGCCTGTGTGGGTTCTGCCATCAGTGGTTCACTAACACAATTACTGCATACACTCCAACTTATATCAGCTCTATATTCAATGTTAACATCAGAGATGTGAGTATATTTCCTTCCATCCCTTTCTCCCATTTGCATGACTCACCCACTGCTCTGTCTTCACAAATCATCTCATCTAGGAAAAATGATCTTTTCTTACCAAGAAATAATCAAATGTGTAGTGCTCATGTCATACTTTTTCTGAAGATATGACTGAAGAGGCTACTGATTTTCTTAAGTCAGTATGATTTCAGGATCATCAGGATGATTATCAGTGGTCTATCAATAAAAGTTGTGGTTGTTATGATGGTTTACTCAATTTTCCCCCCAAAGAATGGGTTCCTGTCTGCCCTTCCTTTTTTTGCTGCCTGGATCATTGGTGTCCTGGGAGGCCAACTGGCAGATTTCCTTCTGACCAAGAATTTTAGGCTTGTTACAGTGAGGAAACTTGTCACAGTTCTAGGTAAGAACAGGGCCAAAGGATCAGATAATTCACAAAGAATACAACAGCAATGGTGTATCTCATCATTTCTGTTTCTGTCCTTTCTTAGGAATCCTCCCTCCTTCAGCATTTCTTGTAAGCATGCCCTACATCACCTCCAACTATATCACGACAATGACCCTTCTGACAATCGCTGGTGGACTATGTCCTTTTTGTCAGGCAGGGATTTATATCAATGCCTTAGATATCGCTCCAAGGTAAGACTATAACTTCCACTCTTATTTTCACATTTTCTGAAAAAAGATTTAGCCTGTAGCTTTTTGGGAAACCCAAAATTATTTTTCAAAATTATTTGCCAAAAAATAAAATATGGGTAGGGGTCACAGATGGATCTCTGGCCGTTTTTCAGATGTGTGTGTGTGTGAGGGGGTGAGGGGCAGTTTCAATTTGTCTTCGTGCTTCTCATTGAATATATTCAGGGCAAATCTTTTGTGATATAACTACGTGATGCATTCACACCTACAGCGCAGGCCGAAGGATCCTGTCAGGCATCTCTGGATCTCAATTAGATTATTCCTGTTATCCACAGATATTCCAGTTTTCTCACGGGAGCCTCAAGGGGATTTGCACAAGTAGCAGCTATCCTGTCACCCACTGTCTGTGGATTTCTCCTCAGTCAGGTAGAGTTTTCTTGTTAAGAAGGACTCTTAAAAATATTTTTCCAAATTCATTCATAAAGGTAATAGAAAAAGAATATATTCACATTTTGAAAACTGATATTAAATGGTGGTTCACTCTATCAGGAAGATCAATCTGGCAATACAGAATAACTACTTTCAAGACCTCAATCTTTACTCATTTGGAAGCCAGAATGAATTAATTCAATCTTTAATTCTAATGATCCACTGGGAATACTCATTCTTTGAAACTGAAAATCACACAGTAATGTGGATATTGTCAGATGATGATTCTGTGCATAGATGCACAGACACACACACACACACACACACACACATACGTACATATACAAGGCATTATTACAGTTACTTTATAGATAATAATCTCATCTAATTGATTCTCACACCAGTTATGAGAGTAGCATGTTATTGTTTCTCATTTTCTATTGATTAATTTGAAAGTCTTTCCAAAAGAGAACATAAAATCACAATCTTCTAACTTGGACTTGTCTAACTCCAAAGCCCAGAATCTTTCCACCATATCATTGCAACCCAAGAAGAATCTTAAAAACATCCTTAACATATTCCACATAGTCAACATTTGAACAAAGAGAAAATGTATGTATGGCATAGTGATAAATGTAATTCTGTAGGTGAAATGCAAAGGTCCCTAAATTCCTTTTATCAGGAATATTCAAAATTCTTCTTTCCATCCAACTATCAAGTCACTTTCAGTAAATTAGCTTCTAAATAGAAACTCACCGGTGATTGTTGTCTTCTGAATGATTAATATGAGTTTCATAGAGAAAAGGATGAAAGGGGATGATATTTATGTGAGGTTTTGTGTCCCCAGGACCCTGTATATGGATGGAGGAATGTCTTTTTGTTGGCATTTGCCATTAACATATCAGGACTACTCTTCTACCTCATATTTGGAAAAGCAGATGTCCAAGATTGGGCTAAAGAGAGGCAACTCACTCGCTTATGAAGGTAGAGGATAGTTATTTCATCTATATTATAATCAGATAAACATCACTTAAAGTTTTTAATCCTATGTCATTTTTCTTTCTTAGTTATTCCATCTTGGATGCAAAGGCCTTTAGGCGCCTTATTTCATAAATGGAATGGCTTCGGTGACAATCTGGTCTCCATCTTACTCAGATTTCTCTTTGAGGAAAATAGGAGATGAACAAAACCCCAAATAAAATGGTGTTCAAGAACAAAGTTGCTGTCTTCAGAGAATTAGAATAGATTTAGAGTTATGGCTGAATGGGAGCCAATAGGCTAGTTTTGCAGTTTCTGGTTCCTATAGTTTCTGGAAACAGAAAACATGTTGGAACTCTTAATCCACAATGGTAGATCACTAGAGCAATCATTTTTCCTATTTGTGGAAATGATTATAAAATTGTATTTGTTGGTCTAGATATTGGCCATGTGGCCCTTCCTTTGTGTGCTCTATTCTTTACCCTGCTTAGACCCCAGGATGCTGATCTGCAAGGTTTGCATCCACAGACCCTTGTCTTCAGGCTTCTGCTGAGTTTTCAATGGAAACAAAACAATGAGGACAAGGAGTCTCTCTCTAAAGTTTCTCCCTGTGGGTTCTGCATGTGGCTAAACCTTTCATTCCAAAAACATTAATTCAAAAGGACACCTTCACCCCTATGTTTATTGCAACACTATTTACAATAGGTAAGCTATGTAAACAACCCAAATGCCCCAAAATAGATGACTGGATTAAGAAGATGTGGTACATATACATATACACCATGGAATATTTCTCAGCAATAAAAAAGATAAACTCATGCCATTTGCAGCAACATGGATGGAGCTAGAAAGGATCATGCTCAGTGAAATAAGCCATGAAGAAAAAGAAAAATACCAGATGGTCTCACTTATAGCAGGAATATAGGGGATCCAAATAAGGTCTCAGGAAAAAAACTAATTATAATAAAATAAAATTCAAAACCAACAGGCAACTATAAATCAGAGACATACTACAGTGGGGGAGAAGAGAGTAGGATCAAAACAAGGGTGGGAAGAGCACAAGGGACCATGGTGATAGTTGATGGGTGAATGGGTGGTGGGAATTTTGTGGAAACTATAACAAAGATGAAAATGCATACATTGTACAAAAATGAAAAGTGATGTAAAAATACATAAAATAATTAAAAACAAATTTTAAAAAACAACCTTTCATTCCCATACCCTGACAGGAAGCCCTCTCCATGCCTTCTGACAACATCTCTCTGCCCTATTCCTTCGGGAAATTTTTTACTTTCATGTTACTAGCTCTGGGATTCTGCAGAATCTCTTGTAGTTTCCTGACAATCCTGTGTAAATAGTCTCATTTAATAATGTCCTCAAATTACCCAATTGTAACTAGCAATAAAATATAATTGCTAGCCCTGTGCACAGGTATTTGAGGGAGGCTCGATTCCGTGGGATTCAATGACCACACCGTATTAAAAGGAAAAAGGATTTATTGTGAGCAACACAGTCAATGCACAAGTAAAATTACAAACAGTGCCCCAAACCCGACCAAACTGATAATCATGCATACATACGGTACAGTTTCCTCAGAAATCAACATCACGGAGGCAAAGAGTCAGCACTCCGGAAAACAGCATTATGGAGGCAAAAAGGCAGCACTCCGGAGAACAGCATTACGGAGGCAAAAAAAAAAGTCAGCACTCCGGAGAACAGCATGGGAGACATATCCACGTCCAGCAGCTGCAAGCAGCAGCAGCTAGGCGACCACTGTGTTTTTATCTCCCAAGGTCGGCTATGGCCAGTATCCAAACCCAGGGATTCATGGTGGGCTGGTCACGTTTCTGTGCACAATGCCCCGGAGTTACATAACCAGCCATACTTCTTGGTGGTCCCGGACATCGTGAACAGTTACATAACCAGCCCTATCTTTTGGCTCCTTGTCCGGGCGCTGGCCAGGCTCCCGGATCAGGGGGCCAAAAGTTGGTCGCACGTCTTCCAATGTCCCCGGCAAAACGACATTAACACTTTATTTTCCTACACCAATGTGAGCAGTCTGCCATATTTCTCTTTCTAGATATAACTAATTCAGAGGTTAAATCAGATATGAATCTCAAAACATGAAATGGCCCACCAGTATTTTTGTAAAATGATTCTTTGTCAGTCAAGTCAGACCATGTTCAGATGGGTTAGTAACATTTTCTAGGTTGCTCCCGGTGGCAATCTCTCTAGGGTAGAACAGGGATTACAGTCAAAAGTAATTTCTTATAGAGACAATATAATGGACACAGGGCTGAGTTAAACATCAGGTCAAGGATATAGGTCAAATCTAAATAAATGCAACAACAACTACAGAGGTCTTGCTATGATCTTGAATCTAGACCTTTGGGAATCTAGAGTGAGATCCAGTCACTATCCTTTATTCTAATGTGGATGACAGATATGACAGATGACAGTGCATTAGCAGGGGGACATGCAGGTGATTATGGGAGACCAAGTGAATGGTTCTAGCACAGGTGAGACTCCCTTCAGCAAGTAATTCCTGAGATAAATGTTAAATGGGAAGTACTATATGGTAAGGTTTTCCACTCCGGAGTCCAACTTGTGCAAAAGCATGAAAACCATAACTAGGGTGGATTCTGAAGTGAATCACTTGCCTTGATGGCCAATTAGGAAAGTACAAATTATAAAGTTAGGGAGGTGGGCATGTAGGCCAGAGGTATGGGGAATGAGAGGATTCACCAGAGACAGAGTGGGGAGCATAACAGGCAGATCTACTTGAAATACACTGCTAAGGGGAGCAGCGGGAGAGACAGGAGAGGTCTGCTGCACCATATGGGTCACCTCCCTGCTGCAGGGACTTATGCTGCAGTGGCTGGCAATAGCTTGATAATGCTGAGACTTAACCCCTTGCACCACCAGGTAGGCCCCCTGATTGGTTTTTTATTGAACATTTTTTTTTGAGACTCTATTTATCTTGAGCAGAGCAGAAGTATTTTATAGAATTATTGCCATCAGTTTAGAGTTAGGATTAGCTCATGTCTATTAAATTTTATATTTCTTGTATAATTTTTGATAATTGCTTGATATCTTTATAGTATTTTATTGATTTTCAGATTTATGTATGAACATAAAATTTTACCTGAACATAAAATTTTACATGAAGTTTTACGATTATATATATGTAACTGATTTCTGCCATTAAGTTTAAGATTTTCTTCAATTTACATTTTTTTGGGTTTATTCCTTTGTCTATTTTCCCAGTCTTTGAGTTCCCGCCTCCTTTCTCATAAGTACATTTTGTTCTAATTGTCTTGAACTTGGCATAAAATATCTCCCTGTTATTTAGTCCCAAGAACTTTCAAATCCCCCTCATAGTTTCCTTTTTGAGTCAGGGTTACTTAAAAGCAATTCATAGACTTCCTGGAGCATGTGGAACAGAAAAATGAGAAAAACTCATAAAAACACCCCTAACTAGCCAGGAAAACGAGGCCTCCTCTGCAATAGCAAGGAAATCTTTTCCTTTGTCCTCTAGCTTTTTTTTCCCTTTCCAGGAAATCTCCAGGTCATTTACCTTTTGTTTTGAAGGTTATGTTTAGAAAGCTTTGAAGTAACCCATCCTCACCCTGTGTGCCCATGTGCAGTTTGAGTTGTTTCCTCAGATGACCTCAGAACAGTGAATTCTGGCTACAAACTCAAAGTCAAAGGAAGTATTTATTGATGATTAACTTTCTCAGAAACATAGGTTTTCTGCTCACCTCCAAGATTCTCACAAGGCAAAACTCTTTAGCAGCCTTCCTGCAATTGGGGGACAGTGTACTCACTGATCCAGTAAGCATTCAAGGGGAGGTTTCTGACTAGACCCGTCCATTGCCAGGACCTTGGTATTTGAGTCCTGACATAGCCTAGGAGGTAAAAAAAAAAAAAACAAAAAAACAAAAACCCTGAGAACAAATGTTTTCAAGAAAAAAAATCTGCCTTCAGACACAAAAACATTGATTCAAAAAAAAAAAAAATACCTGTACCCTTATGTTTACTGCAGCACTATTTACAATAGGTAAAACCTGGAAACAACCCAAATGCCCAAAAATGGATGACTGGATCAAGAAGATGTGGCATATATACACAATGGAATATTATTCAGCAATCAAAAAAGATAAACTCATGTCACTCGCAGCAACATGGCTGGAGCTAGAAGGAATTATGCTCAGTGAAATAAATTAGAAGGAAAAAGAAAAAATATCAGATGGTTTCACTTAGAGCAGGAATATAGGGGAACCAAGTAAGACATCAGGGTAAAACAATAATAACAGTACACAACACAACAAAGCAAAAACAGACAATTATAAGTCAGAGACATCCTGCAGGGGAGGAGGAGGGAGAGGGATCAGAGGGAGGGAGGGAGGAGCACAGGGGACTGAGGTGATGGTGCCCGGGTGCATTGGTGAAGGAAATTCTATGGGGACTACACTGGGGGTGGGGGAGGGGAAAACAAACATTGTTTAAAAATGAGCAATGATGTAAAAAATATATAAAAAAATAAATTAAAAAAAAGAAAAATCTGCCTTCAATGATCAGTTCATGCCTTGAGGACCCTGCCTTGTCTAAATGCTTGGACTGAATATTTCATATTTCCTACAGATGATCCATGTACTTATGCAAAGTTTTATTTTAAATACATTTTAACTAATATTCCTATCTGTTTGCAAAGAGATCTCAGACCACGAACAGAAAACCTAACTACACACACTAAAACTTCTGACCTACTGAATTATAAGCTAATAAATGGGTATGTTATGTACAATAATATGTATATTTCTTTTTTAATACATTAAATAATAATTAACAACTTAATGTAATTACCACAATTCCAAAACAGTGAGCAAATATGTGTGTGTGTACTGAGAGAGAGAAAGAGAGAGAGAGAGAGAGTTTCATTCAGAATTTAGGGAAATAAAGATACAAATTTTTTCCATATAAATTCACAGTCCACTCCTCTTGATAAAGAACCCCTGCTTTCTCCTATTCAAAAGAGAATAGATATTCTATGTTCTCTAGCCATATGTGATTGCTCCATCCTGCCACCCACATTTGTAAATGCTGTGACACTTACTAGAATGTTCACCCCCATGCACATCATGCATTAGTTAAACATTGTCATTTAGAACCCAGCTCAACTGAAACTCAAGAGTGGTACTCCTTCCTCTTCCTTAGACTATGCCATATGCTCTTCCCATTCTGTGGGTAACCCAGTGATCCTCTTGTTATTTCATTCGCCAAGTCATCATTGCATATTCCTTTGTGTGATACTTTGTTCAAAAGTCACCACCCTCTTGAGATGTGGATCTCCTGAACACTATGTCTAACTTGAGTCTCAGTCACGCCCCATATTATGTATTCATTATTATTCATTCAGAGGTTAAAGTTTAACTTTCTTTCATGATCCATACTGTCCACATGGGACTTAATGAAACACAGAGGATACACTCTCCAGGAATTTTAAAACATTTTAAGTCTTAGACAGTTTTGAAGAAATGAATAAGGTTAGTGAGCTGAATCCTGGGAGAACCCCACTGAAGCAAGGAGGACCCCAACCATCAGAGGATCAGAGGAAGCACATCAAGATAGGTGTGGCAGCATGAGCACATGTCTGAGGGGTCAGAAGGGAAACCGGACCTTGTGTTGTGTGTTCAGTAGGTGTAAGGAACCTATATGCACCCACAGAGCTTATGTGAATCAGGTGAATATGGCCAGAAAGAAGGATCTGCATAAGGCATGATACGGGAGAGAACCTGAACACTACAGGGATTCAAGAGGCAGTTTTGATTGCAAAACTAGCAATCATAGAAGCAAGGTCTCTGAAACAGCTGAAGTCTACTCCCCAGTACCCATTAATTGCAGGCACATTCAAGCTTCATGTCATAATGTATTCAGTCTTTTTTGATCTTTACTTTTCAGCATTTTTTTAACTGGGCATCCTGTCCAAGCCAAGTCTCAGATTGGCCCTTTATCCTTCTTCACTAAATGTGCCAGTGATTTTACCTACACTGGTCTCCTGACTTAGGACTTTGGACTTTACACACGATGGCATCTGTTGTTTCAGGCTTTCTTTAGGTGACAGCTCTCAAAGTTCATCTTCTGCATGTTAGAAGCCAATTACTTATAATGCTCAGTTCTCATTCCCATGGTTTCTGTCTTCCTGTTTTGCTTTGGTGAGAAATTATGCTATGGCTCCTGAAGCTTTCACTAGGAGAGCTAAAGAAAAATTGTTTTTATCCTCACAACCCCTCAGACACCAAATGTGGTTTTGATTCTACAACAGGCAAATCTTCAATTCTCTGTGGGCACCAACTGAGTAGCCTAAATTCTTTTTTAAAGATTTATTTATTTATGCTGGGGTGTAGGCCAGATATGTGGGAGGATGTAGGCCAGATGTGTTGGAGGGTGTCTCTCACCAGAGACAGAGTGGGGAGCAGAACAGGCAGATTGACTGAAATACACTGCTGATGGGAGCAGCGGGCAAGACAGGAGAGTTCTGCTGTGCCATGTGTGTTAGCTCCCTGGCCAGGGATTGAACTAGTGCTGCAGTTAGCTTCATAGTGCTGAGACTTAACCCCTTGTACCAGCAGGGAGGCCCTGGGTAGTCTAAAATTTAATTCAATTCTGACACTGACTATGAGAGTTAGTGCAGAGCCCACAGGATAAGGGCTCAATTGCACAAGACTGATTCCATTTCAGACACTAGTCAAAGTAGCAGATGCCCAGGGTAAACACACTTCTGACTTTCATCTTAGCTTTTGAGTTTCCATTGAAACCCTTCTTAGGATTGATTATTTGCTAGAATGACTCACAGAACTCAGGAAAACAGTTGCCTTTTTTTTGGCCTTCTTTCGTTGTTATTCATCCCTCTGTTGGTTCTGGCTTTAGGACTCTTTGTAGAATTTTTTGGAGTTGGGGGGGGGTTTAGTCGTAATGAAATTCCAGAGATTCTGTTTGTCTGGGAAGGTCCTTATTCTTTCTTCATAGAGGAAGGAGAGCTTTGCAGGATAGAGTTTTCTTGGTTGGCGTTTGTTGTCTTGGAGTCTGTTGACTATGTCCCTCCACTCTCTCCTTGCCTGTAACGTTTCTTTGGAGAAATCTGATGTCAGTCTGATTGGTTTTTCTTTCTATGTTATCTGTTTCTTCCCTGTTGTCAGCTTCATTATTTTTTCCTTGTCTTGGACTCTTGGGAACTTTACTATTATGTGACTTGCTGTATTTTTCCTTTCATCATGGAAGTTTGGTGTTCTTCTTGCTTCTTGTATGTCTATTTTCAGCTCCCTCATGTTTGGGACGTTCTCGTCAATTATTTTCTTGAATATTTTGTCTGTTCCTATGTCTCTCTCCTCTCCTTCTGGGATTCCTATAACTCTTATATTTCCTTTCCTCGTGAAGTCAGATAGTTCCCGAAGTCTTTCTTCAGTCTTTTTCCTTCATTTTTCTCTTTCTTTTTCTGTTTTGGTCCTTTTTATTTCTATGTCTTCAAGAGTACTTATTTGTTCTTCCATTTCATCTATTCTGCTTTCACTGCTTTTCCCAGAGTTCTTTAGCTCCTCCATTAATTATTTGATCTCCTGAATTTCTTTTACTTCCCTCTTTAGGGACTCAGTTTTATTCTTCTGATCATTGATTATTTTTCCCATATCATTTTTGACTTCCTTCAGTTTTTTAATCATGGCAATTTTAAATTCTCTTTCTGGAAGACTCAGAAGTACTTCCAAGTCACTGTTGTTGCATTCTGGTGGGTGATTTTCTTTTTGTGGTGTGTCTTTTTCCTGAGGAGTTGCTAGGTTGCATGTAGTTTTTCTTCTCCCTGCTGCCTGTTTTCTAACTTGCCCTATGCATTGGGACACTGTGTTGCTGGTACTGGCGGGCATCTTTTTGGGGTGCTCTTTCTGGGATTTCAGAAACTGGTGGTCCAAATGAGCCAAATACTGTTATGCCAGAAATCCAGTGAGGCAGTGGTACTTTGAGTATGTTAATGGTCACTGTCACAGAAGATCTCCTCCTTCTGTGTTTGTTTAATTCCAAAGGTGTGTCTTGAAGTCCCACAGACTTCCCTGGACATGGGGCTGCTGGATTACACTCTGGGCTCAAAATCGCTGGATCCCCCTCTGGGATCCACTCCCTGCCAGGGGGGACCAGGCTTGTGGGGGCCTTCAGCTCACCTCTGGCTCTGCGGGGAGACTTATGCCAGTTTCAAGCAGTCTTTATTGAAGAAAGCTCCCTGTTCTAAAATGGCGAGTTGGCGACACACTCTCCTGCGTGCCCAGCCTCCCCAGCTGTGGATGCCCGATCCTCCTCTGGGCTCAGACTGCTGGCCAGAAGGGGCCTGGCGTGGGGGAACTTCGTAGCTCACCTCTGGCTCCACGGGGAGGAGCGTTCTGCTGGTTTCAAGCAGTCTTTATTGAAGAAAGGTCCCTGTTCTAAGATGGCAAGTCAGAGACACACCAAAACAGTTGACTTTTATTGGTTTATTATAAAGGATAAAACATAGGAACAACCAAGTGGGAAAGGTGTATAGGACAGAGTGTGGGAAGGGATACAGATTTTACATGTCTTCTACAGGTTCAACATTGTTCCAGCATTTCCATATGATGACAAATGGAAGCTCTCAGAACCCAGTCATTTATGACATTCATAAAGGTTTTATTGATTAAGTCACTGACAATTGGTGAATGTCTCATTCTCCAGACTCTCTTCTCTTCCCACAGATTGGATGACATATTAAAAGTTCCAAACTTCTAATCATGTTTTGGTCTTTCTGAGGACCCTGAAACTCCTTAGGGACTCAGCCAACAATCATCTCAATTCTACAACAAAAAGACATTCTTATTACTCAGTAAGTTCTAAGGTTGTCAGAAAGTCTTGTGTCAGTAGACAGGAACTAAAATCAATTTTTATGTAAAAATATACTCCTTCCTACATATCAGCCAGGAAATAACAAAGGTTTTGGAGCTCCATGCAAAGAACTGGGGACAGTTATTTCTGATTATGTCACATTAACAATGGAAAGACTGGAAACCACATGGAAATTCAGACACGCATGCTTTCAGGCACTCAGAGTTAAATAACTAGACTTTCCTCCAACCCTCCCTTGTAAATAGTCAGACAGAACTCCCAGTATTACACAGCCAAGTTCTTTAACAAGAGACTAGAAGCAAGTCAATTCAAACTGGATGGCTAACCCATAAGCAAGTATGAGCTGGGAAGGTCCATGAGGGAAAGTGATTTACAACTAAGCAACAGGATATGAGGTGTCACTAGGTTTGCATAGAAGTGGGTGAATGTCAGTCATATGCCCAGTCTTGGACTTCAGCTCTTCCCAGGATGAGGTACATGACCAGGCCTGCTATGTCAATAGCAGCTGCAATGAAGAAGACATTTCTCCAACCATATTCAGAGTCCTGGTGGTAGGAAACTACAGATTATTAGGGTTTCCTAGTCCTTATCCTCCCTCCTGTATCAGAAAGGCTCAGATGGTGCCATGTTCTATTGCCCCCAACTCCAACTGGTACAAATTCTATGAGCGTCCAACTTGTTCCTGGAATAGGAGATATGTTACTATGCATTAACCTTCTCCACTGTGGAACAGTCTTCCCTCAGAGAGCTATTTTCTCACTCCTTGATTGCTTCTTTGCTTCAGTGCTACTTTTTCAGCGAGTCTTTCCTATATCATCCTATTAAAAATTGAAAATCACCCCTTCTCCTGTGCCTTCTTCTCCATTCCTGCTTTCCTCTTTTCTTAGCACTTACCACCCATTCCTCAATGTATATATATTTTACTCATAACATTACTCTTTGCCTGTAAATTTTCCTAAAATATAGTCTTTGAAGGCAGGGGATTTATTTCTTTTATTCACTTAAATAATATCTAGCCCATGCTCATGTTCAATAAATATCTGTTGAATGGATGAATAAATGAATGAATGAGTGAGTAAAAAATAGGGAAAACAATGTCAGTTTGCAAATTTCCCTTTTAAACAACCATTTCCTGACAGTGTATGGAATTAAATTTTTAAAGAACAAAAAAGTTTTGAATTGTATTGCACTATGGGTATTGCACTACCCTGGTATTCTTCATCATAGTCATGATTACTTGTAAAAAATACCAAAAGAATCCTAAAGAATGATATTCATGTGAATGTCACAGATATCTTTCTTCATAAAGACTGTATCAATAAGATTATTAGGAGAATCTAATCATCTGCTGTGTATTCTTCATAGTCTGACAAAGTTAACAGCATTTTAAAATATGGAAGACTATACACCAATGTATAAAAACCATGCAAGTGATGTTGGTCAGAGGAGTGTCTACAATAACCACTAATGGGCATACAAGTGCCAGCAACAGGTTTTTCCTTCACTATGTTATTCACTCAGCATCATGTTCATTTTTTAAATATTTGATATTTACATAAATGATCTTCATAGTTGGCCAGTTCTTTCTATATTAAACAGAACTTTCAAGGATTCAGATGGCATATGACACATCTGGGGAAAATGGAATCTAGACAAACCAGAATGGATGGCCACTCTGTACTTTACAAGTGCAAGCTAAAACCAACAATTAAAAGTACCCCAATCCTTAGTTTCAATGGAGGGGCACAACCAAAAAGTCAAGGTACAGTAGGACTGTTTTGGGCAAGAACTAAGTCGTCAACATCAAAGAATGTTTTCTCCTATAAAATAAAACTCCCAGTTCCCAGAAGATAGTAACTCCACAGGGTAAGTTTTAACAACTGTCCTTGTTTTCTTCAATGCATAGACAACATCAATAGAGATATTTATAGGGCACCAGCCTATATTTTCCCCAGAAAAATCATTGACAACGTCAAATATTTTCATTGCAGACAATATAAAATTTTCATTGTGAAGCTCAGAATTTAGAGAACTTTCCCAAAGCTACCTGGAGCCAACCCCAGGCTTGAGTCCTCAATTCCTTAATAAAGTCACATAATTTATTTTAATTAAGAGATGTCACTCCGGGGCCTCCCTGGTGGTACAAGGGTTAAAGACAGCACTATCAAGCAATTGGCAGCCACTGCAGCATGAGTTCAATCCCTGACCAGCCAGGGAGCTACCCACATGGCACAGCACACCTTCCCTGTCTTGGCTGCTGCTCCCCTCAGCAGTGTATTTCAGTAGATCTGCCTTTTCTGCTCCCCACTCTCTCTGGTGAGTCCTCTCACCCCCTACACCTCTGGCCTGTACCCCAGTTCTTATATGCATAAATAAAATAAATCTTAAAAAAAAGGAGATGAGACTTCACATGTCTCAGACTTTGTCTGAACACCTGGAGCAGGGAGCAGACCAAAAGCATGGCTCCAACAAGGGCCCTTGAATCTATCCAACTCCTTGCAGCTCTGACATGGTGACTGGTGACTACTCCCAGGTCATGTGGCTCCAGGTTTGGTTGACAGTCCTTGACTTTTCTAAGGATATTTATCCCAGATCAGACAGCTCCCAGTGTGGAAATCTAGTCCCATTGGCAACAGGTAATGGCAGCACTGTCCCTTGGGGGTGGGTATGGGTATTTTGTTTGAGTTGGAAAGACAAAATTTGCTTAGAATATGAAGACAAGCTAATGGGAGCAGCCTTGAATGTCTCCACAGGAAAAGGCCAAGTGGTCCCGCTGACCCACGTGTCCAGTGTGTCTACACAAGTAGAAACCCAGCAGAGGATGCTGGGACTAGATGCTGTGATGACTAGTGAGTGGTCCTCCAGGGGGAGCATTTTCACACATCTTTGTGCTCCCCTGAGGGTGACATGAGGGTTGTTCCTCTGCACCCTGAGCTCCTACAGTTGACTGAAGCAGTTGTAGGTAAACTGAGACAGGTAAAGGCCAAGCCCACCCTGGGCCACACCAACGGTGCCAGACTATACCCACAAATGGATCCCAAACAAAGTCAGCTAGAATGTCAGCTAGGTAAGGATGACTATGGGAAATGAGACTTCAAAACCCAATAAATCAGGAGGGGCAGGGGATGACCACCCATCACCACCCTTGCAGGGTTTAGGGGCAACATTTATGGAGGGAATATGGTAATAGTTTCCTTGGTGAGAGGAATTAGCCAACAGGACATTTCTTTGAAGAAGCCAAATGGGTTACTTACGAATTACCAAAATTCTTTATGGGTGCAGCTACAAGAGCTGCCTCAAAACAAAAAAACAGGTTAATGGAATAGTTATTTTTACTGATACCTACAAGTTTCTTTCCAAGAGAAGAAATGATAAGGTCACATCTTCAGAATTAAAATGTCCATCTTGTTGGACACCATTACTAATATTAGAAAAATTAAAACTAAAAAAACAAAACAAAACACTTCTGAACAAAGCCAGAGCCCAATCTATCAGCACCTCCCCTCTCATTATTGATGGACTACTGGGCGAGGCAGCTCTTGTTTATTGTCCTCCTTCTCCATAGGCCAAGAAGAAGAAAATAAATCAGAATGATTACTGCTGCATTTCAGCAGAGTCAACACCCAGTAGAAGGTAAAGACACTAGATTCTCAGACTATATCCCTTGGACATAAGTAGAACGAAGAGCCAAATAAAGATCTCCTAATTCCTCTCAGCATCTACTAGAATTCTCAAAAAAACTGGAATTTCTCCTGGAGAGCTAGCATTGTGGGTTTTCTGATCAATACCAACGAATTCACATGCTGTTTCCCAAACAAAAGTTAAAGAATGGATGGAAAAGGCAGAATGTGAGGAATCAATCAAGGAACAGCTCTTGAGAGATAAGCAGAGCTGTAAAAAAGTAGGAAAAATCTTATGAAACAAATTTCAATGTCTTTTCCAGAACAACAAATTAGTCCCAAATCCAAAATTGCCACCACAAAGAAGATGAACACGGTGCTGAATTCTTTGAAAAATTTGAGGAAACATTTAAAACCTTTTCTAATCTGCACCTGAATCCTTTGACTTCCAGCGAAGGGACCCACTGATGAACCAGGCATTACTAGTCTCTGTAGGAAGGTGTTGACCACTCTGGTAAAGTGGCAGGCACTGGCCCTTGGTATCAATACTCACCAACATGTTGGTCTTTATAGCTGGGAAATTACCTAAAATATTCAAAGCCAAGGAAAAAGAGCCACCAAAATTATGAACCTGCAACTTACCCAAATGATTAAACAGAGATAGGGATAGCCCACTACCTCATGGCCAGATGTGTCAAAGTCGGAGATTTCTAAACAGAACACAGAACCTTGGGTTTAAAAGAGCATGTTAGGGGAAATTATATACCTCTAAACCACAAACAATGATGTAAACCAATATTGCTTGCAAAAAAATTAAATAGCAAAGATTATAAATAAAAATAAGGGCATACTGTTACAGGGCAGGGTGAGGGGCATCCCAGAACCCCTAAAACTTCCTGCTCTAAATAGGTTCTGCCATCTGCAGCATCAAGACAAAAACATACTCTAGTGTATGAAACTATTAGTAGAAAGGAACTTTAATACATTAGCATGCAACAAAGCAAAAAACAAAGAATAAAGCTTCCAAATCAAGCACCCTAAGTACCCATCCTCTTGTGGGTAAATGTTCAGTGAAACAGGGTTGGCTCAAAGTAGGGCCAGAGGCCAGAAGCCTGCCACAAGTCTAAGGCACCTCCTGGTGGGGACCATAGGAAAGGGACAGAATGGCCACACAAGTCTGGGAGGAAAAGAGCAAAATCAAAATCAAGATAGAAGTTGCCACTGAAAACCTACCCTTGGGTCTCTCACCCACATCTATTTCCTCCAGTCCAAGACCAAGAAGCAAGTGCAGCTTCTTCACGGGTCTCTCTGCTCCATGTGCCTCCTCCAGGTCTCTTTCTGGCTCCCCATTTTTCATCCTTCCTTTTCCTTCTCCTCTCCAGCTTTTCCTCCTCCTAGCTCAGCTCCACACTTTCTTGGGTGGGGCAGGGGACATGGAAATTCCCCTTTTCCTGGGGACCACCCTGTTGAAATACTGGACTGTAGTGGAGGACTAAAGATGTTTTGATGAGTAATGTGATATAGTAACAACATCTGAAGGGGGAGATCCTATACCTGTAAATCACAATGTGATAAACCAATGGCACATCAGTAAAAATAAATAAGTAACAAAGCCATACTTAGACTATTAATGCAAAACATCACAGTACCTGAAGAAAGATTACCAAAGGAGCACTGAGATCTTGAAGAAGTTTCTGACTCAGTTTTTGAGACTAAATTGATAAAGCTGGGCCTCCCTGGTGGCACAAGAGGTTAAGTCTCAGCACTATGAAGCTATCAACAGCCACTGCAACATGAGTTTAATCTCCAGAAGGGAACTAGCCCACACAGAAGTGTAGACCTCTCCTGTCTCACCAGCAGTGTATTTCAATCAGTCCTCCTGTTGTGCTCCCCGCTCAGTCTCTGGTGAATCCTCTCATCCCCCCACACCACCCCCCACTGACACCTCTGGCTTACACCCCGAGCTCTTGTATGTATAAATAAATCTTTAAAAAAAATAAAAAAAAAACTTACAAAGCTACTGCTCCAAGGAGCTAAAGGGAATCTGTTCACTTCTACAATCATTTTCATTAGGGGAAGCCCAAGCAGAAATTCAAGGGATTCCCATGAGGGCTCTGATCCATTCAGGAGCTTCTCTTCCTGTCTTGCATGCCATTATTTTCCAAGATTCTTTTCTCAGAGTGAGGAAACAGTACAAATGGTGGTGGTAATAAACTTCTCCATGAAACAGCAGTGTCAACACTAAAATAAACCTTAACTGGAGCCCCAGCACTGGGGCATGCAAGCTAGGAGAAATCATTTCCCCTCTTTGTAAAGCCTCTGGGGTATGAACTCAAGATGGAAATCTCCAGTGGCCCTTAGGGCTCTTATTCTCAATGGAGACTTGCCCTCCTGCCTAAGAACCATATCTGCAGCAAATTCTTGGTGCTGAACTACAGAAGCACCTTTGACGGGTGCATACATCTTGTTTTCTAAATGCACCACACTCTGCTGAAGTGATCCCAACCTCACAGCACACATAGTGTTACTCAGCAAACTGGTCTACTTCACATGAGCTAATCCTACTCTCTCTAAAAACAATTATTCTTAAGTATAATAGCTTGAATCAGTGTTTTGATGCCAGATAAACTTAAGGAAGCTGAATAATACCATAATTGTATGCAACTAATTGATTCCCTTAAATCCCAAAAACAATTTACATGAAGCTTCAAGAACTAATTCTGTCTTTGTTTGGATTAGAGATGCTAATACCGGTGAGATTCATCCAGAAAATACAAATCTGGTTGCACTGTCATTTCTGAGGTGTTAATCATTGAAAATACAATTTGACTGAGGCACATTCAGCTCAGCAGATGGAATCTGTATGAAAGGCCTCCAAATTGGCAAAAGGCAAATCAGCTCTCAAATATTCAGATAGCCACTATGCTTCTGGAAGAGTCCAAGAGTTTGGAATATTGTAGAAGCAACGGGGTTTCCTATCTTCCCCAGGGCAACCTATGAAAAATAGGAAGCAGGTCATAGATTTTTTAGAATCTGTTCTGCTCCCTCAGTCTGTAGTCATACTGTAAACACAGGGCCGCATCAGGGGACACCTCAGAAGACAAAGGTAATTGAGAACCAGGTAATGTGAGAACCAGGCCCTAAGACTGATCACTTTGACTATGAATGCAGAAGCAGGGCCAGCATACATTCTGTGTCAAAGGTCAGCTCCCAAGACCAGTCATCCCAGAACTAACTTGCCCAAATGAACTCCCTACTCATGAGACGCCTGGGAAACAGGTTGAAAAAGGGACCCCCAAGTCCTTCATGCACAGAACTCTCACTCCCACCTGCTGTTTCTCTTAGCAGTATATTTCAATAAATTGCTTGTTCTGTTCTCCACTCATTCTCTTGTGAATTCATCATTTACCCCCACAAGTTTGGACTCATCACAGTATTTTCCCCCAATACATTGTGTTGTCCTTCAATTTAACTAACGGCCTTTGTGAACTCAAAGAGCCACACTTGAGACAGAGATACAGATATGGATCCAAAAGGATGGGGGATTTTTATGAGGAAGAGAGAAAAATAGGACTAGGGCTCAACCATTGGTCTATACTGGCTATAGAGGCTCCCAAGCCACTTTTGAATTATTCTCATGAACTCACCCTCTGGGCACCTAAGAAGATGGTTTCTTGGGAAAAACGGTATTTTTGAAACCCTTCCCAACAGTTGTCAGAAAGTATTTTCTGTCAGTAGGTATATGATCTGTCCTAAATATAATGCAGGTAAACTTCTATAGTTCCTATAGGCATCTGGCAGATGGATTCATGCAGATGCCACCATCAAAATGTTGCCAGATTGTATGCATTGTGATTTGTCTGCTCTACACTGAAGATAAAATTTCTATGCAGGAGGGTCAAGGGAGCAACTGTAGGTAAAACTTTTTTTGATCACATCATTCCAGGGCTTCTGCTGGATTACAGAGTGATCATGGACTACATGGACAAATAACTAAGGTAACTATTAAAGTGTGACTTACTTTTCAGCATTTTCCTTGTGCATCTCAACCCAGTTCCTTAGGATTGGTGGAAGGAATGAGTAGAATGCTCAAAACCCATGTGCACAATTGACAGATGCTTATACCACAGATGCTCTACAATACCCAGGCCATAGGCTCTCTCATCAAGTCACTTACCTCTCTTCAAGGAACTGGCAGAGAAGGGACATAAAATGTCAAGAGATAAACTGTAATTCCTTAAAGGAAATTATTTTTGTCACTCAACATTTTTTGTCATCATAAGAAATGCCAAGAATATTTCTAGAAAATTTGCAGAGTAGCATGAGAAATGCATCTTCTAAAATCTCAGAAAGCATAAGCTATAAAATTGTACATTCTCCTGTACTCCACACTTGAACCAGTGGTAGCTTCCCCTCACAAACTTGGGTTTCACAAGCTGTGAAAGCCACATTGAGGAGGGAATGAAAATACTCTTAGTCTGACTTCTACTGGGTGACAATACAGATTTGGTCTATGATTATTTCATGAGAACAGTTTCTCACCTGATTTATGAAATAGCCAGTGACGGCGGGAGAGATGGCTCCAGCTAAGAAAGAAAATATTTGTGATAGTCCCCTGAGAAAGGCACTGTACCTGTGAGAGAGAGAGAGACAGAGAGAACATTCACTGGAAATAAGAGGTTACTCTCAGCTCATCTGTTACAACTCTGTGGATCTCTGAGGATGCCTGCGGCTGTGTGACCCTGGACCAAACCTGAATGTAATGTCCTGATAGGATTAGTAGGACCCTGCGCTGGGTTCAGAGACTTCCAAGGGGTCACCTGTACTAACTTCTTTACATGTTTATACAAAATATACAGATTAGGGCCATGTAGCTGGCTTATGTTCCTAAGACACTGCTATGGAGCCTCATCTTCCAGAATCTAGGTTTTGTGTATAAAATATCTCTCTCCTATAATATAAAAAACCTCTCATTAAAAAACATGGCTCCCCTGAGAAAAGGTATTTCTCACAAATATTGCTGCATTATTTGAGATGAGTGTGTTTTCTTTATTGTGAAATGTCTCTGGCAGTTATAGGGTAAAGTTCATTGACCTCTGATATTCACCTATATCAAGGTAAGTGTTCCTCTTCCTGTCCCCGCCCTTTGCCTGCAATCACTTTCCGTGAGCTAGGCTTGTGGCGTTTCCAAGTCCTTTCAGGCACCCACCCTATGTGACAGCTGATGCCCTACAAACAGAGATCATTGGGAGTCTCCTCTCATTGGGCTCTTCTGTGGCCACTGTCTACTCCCATTTTCACCTAAAAAACTAAGTTGAAAATGGTAGAACATCTTTGGGTCTTCCCAGGAATGAGTTCGAATCTGGAGATGGTACTGACAATTCCTGTGACCTGTCTCACATGTCACTCATATTTGATCCATGTGTCGGAGCAAGTTGAAGTCGCTGCACCTGAATTGAGTTTCTATGAGGACAAAGCAGAGTTCCTACCGAGGAGCAATATCCACCATGTTGAGAAGAACTCCTACTTCACACAGGTTGCGGATGGCGGAAATCAGGATCAAGAAGGCAAGGGTGGTGCTGTGGCTGGATCTCACCCAGGGCAGGAGCAGGTGGAGTCCACATGGGATGAGAACCCCTAGCAGGAGGACAAACAGTGAACAGGAGGCCCCTGGGTGCCCCCCACATACCCCTCCATTCACCTCCATTCTTACCTAAGGCAGTAAAGAGTTTCCTGATAGTGTTGAGTCTAAGGATTTTTCTGGAGTGGAGAAAACCAGCGAGTTGACCTCCAAGGATAAAGGTGGGAAAGGCAACACATAGTGGCAGAGCTGACATGATCCCACTCTGGGGAGGAGACGAGTTAGGGACAGGTCATCATCCCCCACAGTATTGAGACAGAGCTGTGGAGAGAATGTCTAGATCTGGGGTTATTCATTACATGCTCTTTCCTCTAACACAAATTCCACGTTGCTGGTATGAGTCAATATATTTTCTGCAAGAAAATATATTGCAGAAAAAAGATTCATAAAATTCAATTTGAGGGGTAAAAATGACTTATTCTTCCTGCATATATAAATTTTCCCTGGAAAAAAGATGTTTAATGGAATAAAAGTTGGTACAAAAATGGGTTAATATATGAATACAAAATCTACAGAAAAGGAAACATGTGTATGTAAAGATTTTGTTAAAATGGTTGGAGAGGGGCTTCCTGGTGGCGCAAGGGGTTAAGATGCAATCTGTGGCGCTATCACAGCCACTGCGGCAGGAGTGCGATCCAGGCCATGGAGCTACCCACACAGCACAGCAGACCTCTCCTGTCTTGCCTGCTGCTCCCCTCAGCAGTTTCTTTCAGTCAGTCTGCCTGTTCTGTTCCCCACTCTGTCTCTGGTGAGTCCTCTCACCCTCCTGCATCTCTGGCCTGCACCCCAGTTCTTTTATGCATAGAGAAATAAATCTTTGAAAAATGGTTTGGAGAACACTATTCATTTGTGTAGGCTTGGATTCTCAAAAAGGCACAATGGGAAAAGTTCTGAGACACTCATAAAAACTTTATGTGTGGAGTGGGCTGGGAGAACAGGGGAGATTGGGAACAGGAAGACAGCAAGATGTTCCACTCTGCCTTTTTATATTTTAAAAGAGATTTTAAAATGGGGAACCCTGTAATTAGCAATTCAGCTTCTATTTTAAATGACTGATAAAGAAAATGAGGACGGGGGACCCCCCCTTGGTTTACATAATCCAGACAATGAGCATGTCACTCTGACCTGGTCCAAGCTGTTCATGTAATGGATGAGTAAACTGAGACCATCGAGGTCACGTGACTTAGTGAGAAATTACCCTGAGAGCAACGAGTCCAGGTCTCTTGACTTCCCATGCAGGGAAGGTGCTGAGTTCTCAACTCTTTTTCCAATCACTCCCATCAGGTCCTCCTCAGCCTCGGTGTCTGAGGGTGAGAGCCCACATGAACGTGGCCTCATTTCAGAGACAGATCATCCCCAACAACAGCCGTAGGACACCCCTTTCTCATTCTGATGCCCTAGCTCTCTAGATGTCTTGTTTTCTCACTCCCTGGCCTGTGTTCTGTTTTTTAGCTGCTTCTGGTCCTCGTACCCCTGTCTTTGGACTTACTGATCGCAGCACCCCAGCCTCCTTGCTGCAGGAACCCCAGTCTCTGACCAGTGCTAAGAAGCCAGTTCTCTGTTACCCAGTTCCAATGTTTCACCAGGGAGCCCAGTCACCCTGGGGACACTGCTTTTGAGTCCAAAGGGTGAGAAAAGCAATAATTTAATGACCAGGTGAATTGTCCCTCTCAGTGAAATCTATACCCCCCTCCCTAGTCTTAGAACATCCATTTAGCAAGAAATAAAGGCTCCTGTTAGCCAATCAACAATCTGTTCATTGAGTGGAAAAATCAGAGAGCTGTACACATATGTGCACTTAGTTTGTATGTGTTTAACTTGAAAGAAATGTTTTGTCTTAAAATATTCCCACAAGTTTTTATATAAGATCATGCCTTACTTTCAGAGTGTTTTTAGCTTCTATGTCACAGTCTTCTTAAAGATGAACACAATTTTATTAAACGTTGTTGCTTATCTGCAACAGAGTGATTGACTGGAGTTATTGTTTGGATTAAATGTAATATTTTTCCTTAGGTGTGTTAAGAAATGTGACATTCTGTGAATATGAGTGACCTAGAACCATAACACTCTCTTTTAATTAAGCAGAAGGTTTCTTTTCAGTGATTCAAAATCTCCTGAATGAAAATGCAAGAGAGCCAGGTTGCATATCCTCCCTGACCATCCTGGGCCCAATCCTTGATTTTTGGACCAAATAACAGATAGAGGATTCTATAAAGAAGCATTTAAATGGAGGAAAAGAATGAATTTCACTGTACTTACATATCTGAAATTAGCTTCAAGCACAGTGTTGATGTATGTTGGCATGTATGCTATTATGATGTAATTACGCCAGTATATGCAGAATGCAGACACTAAAATGGCCCACAGTGGCAGGGATTTGACCATAGCCTTAATGGGAACAGACCAGCCTGGAGAACTGCCCTAGAAGAAAGCACATGACAGTGCCCCCTCCATTAGAAGACAGAAGCTTTGCTCCACTGCACATCTCACCTCCAACACAAGCAGACAGACATGGAGATGACAGAGGAGTTGCTCAGTGCACCTGTTCAGCCAGGGAAGCCACGATGTATTCCTTCTCACCAGTGCTGATAAATGGATGAGTCACAGGGTCCTCATAGACAAGAAGAAACCAGAGCAAAGAACAGGCACAGTCCATTCCACCTGGGAGAAGAGGGTCCAATTAGTACTGGATTGGAATGTTTCAATTTGACTTTAACCTGGGATGAATCTTGTAGTTCACACAATGACACCAGTTTCTACTCTGCCCTCATCCATAGTCTAGCATGCACCTATCACTGGTGGAGAGGACTTTCCCAGAACTTGATTTTGACCTTGGTCAAACATATTACTTGCTTTTTTAGGTTTGAAGAACCACTATATTGTTTTCAATTTTCTTCCAAAGTCTTAGCCATTGTCATAGGAAGAACATGTTCCAGGTTACCCATTGTCCAAGGCAGATACAAGACACAGAGAACAGAGCTGTCCAGAAGTAGGAGAATAAATCATTTGTTTTATTTATATATATATTTTATTTTATTTTGTATAATTATTACATTTTTCATTTTTGCACAATGTATGCATTTTCATTTTGGTTATATTCCCCATACAGTTGGACCCCCCCCATTCTTTTGACCCTAATCCTTCCTCTCCCTGTCCCTCCCCCTACCCCATATTGTGTCTCTGGTTTATAGTTGCTTGTTGATTTTGATTTTTACTTTGTATTAGTCTTTTTCCTGGTCCCTTATTTAGGTTTTCTAAATTCCTGCTATGTGAGACCATCCGGTATTTTTCTTTTTCTTTCTGACTTATTTCACTGAGCATGATAAATCATTTGTTTTAAAGCAGTGTTGGGGCAGTTTTGAAATGCACCATTAATAAGGCTATAACTCATTGTTAGAAATAATGGTGAGCTTACCCTGCTTGCTTGACAAAATTCTCACATCGAAGTGTGGAAGGATTCCTCTTCCCTGTCATACTTCTGCAAAGTTCCTTCCATCATTAAGTCCTTCCATAACTACCTCTGGCACTGAAGACTTAGCAGCAGGCATATGTGCAAGTGATCACCCAGGATATGTGCAACTGATTACCCGGGAAATTCGTAAATTTGTAACTAATCCTTAACAGAATGATTTTCTCTAATAGATACATTATTCTGAATTTGACAACACAGCATTATTGGTAGTGTGTGAAAGCATGATTCATCTAAAAAGTCCCTTTTTAGCTCCTTAAGAATAGCTAAGAACTCTCTTCACTTGCTTGGCTGAGGATGACACATCCTTCACAAATACAGAGCAACCCAAACACCAAGATTTTTGCTAGATTTTGAGAGTTTAAGAATACAAAGCACAGGGTCTCCCCAGTGGTGCAGAGGGTTGAGCACAGTGCTGTGAAGCTGTCCACAGTCCCACAGAGTGGGTTCGATTCCTGACCAGCCATGGAGATATCCATATGGCATGGCAGACCTCTCCTGTCTCGCCCGCTGCTCCCCTCAGCAATGTATTTTGGTCAGTCTGCCTGTTCTGCTCCCCACTCTGTCTCTGGTGAATCCTCTCACCCTCCCGCGCGCCTCTGCACTGTACCCCAGTTCCTGTATAAAAATGAAAAAAATATTTTTTTAAAAAAAGAATACAAAGCACAATGTTCTCAACAAAAAACCCAAAATCAAGTGTGCAGGGATAGATGTGAAAATCGGCACTGGTGTATATTGAAAAGGTAGGATGTTAAAAGATTCCATGGGTATTTAGTGAGTTCCTGTCTTAAACATGCTATTGCTGTTTCTCAAAACCATGAGCATAGCAGCTTCTCCGATCACTTGAATATTATTTGTTTCCCATTCTATTTGAAATTTCTAGGACAGAACACTGGTAGATTCATGTGCCATAGTGGTCACACTTAACATATTTTCTTCTTGAAAATATGACCTGATAAATAAAACCCATGAAATAAGAGCACCATCCTATAATGAAAACACCAATAGATTGAACCTCCAGGTCCCACCAGATTAGGCAGGTTGCATGTAGGATTTCAGAGAATATTATAAAAATACATAACCTCAAACATTAGTCAAAAACAGGTCAACTGTTCCATCCATGACTGTGTATGGACACTATTGCAAAGTAGTAGGATACTACTTTGAGAATACTCAGTGTGACTTTGAAAATTTTTGTCTCTGTGTATTTTACCCACTTCTGAGCCTCACGTTGTCTGCCCTGCCCTGCAGCCTCTATTGGCTGATTCTCTACTCTACTAGGTATTTTTACCTATGATTATGTCTCATTCCCACAATTTTCTAATTAATATTAAGAGAATGTAAAACACATATGAAATAAGTAAGCCTGTCTAAAAATACATTCCTACCAAGATAACCTTATCAATAGCTTATGAAGCAATCCAGGAGGCGTCCTTTTTGGGTTGAATTTAGAAACAGGAGGGAATGTGATGATGCCTCTAAAGCCATCCAGTTATTTTAGCTACACACTCGAGTTCCCTAAACTTAAATGTGATTTGCAGCATCTCATGATGAGGTCTGACATTATCCACTTCTGTGGGTCTGCTAGAATGAAAGAACTGCGTACGCCGCCATATGGGCTATGCAGTTCAGCCTTATGTGCACAAAGCCCATTAGGCCCAACCAATCAATTCACTCCTGACCCTGCAGAGGCGTCTTTTAAGTTAAACAAGAGAAAGATGCTTAATCTCCTGTGACAATGAACATATGTCACCAGGCAGGACTGGGAATGCCTGGGGAGCCGCTGACTGGTATGTAACTTTGTGCCCAGAGAGACATCAGTGGAATGCCTTGTTAACAAGATGGGTACCAGAAGCCAAGGTCAGAAAGTCTGATTTTGGTCTCTAATTTTGGGCAAGAAAACTGGGCTGTAAATCTGAATGGCATTCGCAGACTCCTCTCTCCTAAAGTGCAGTTAACCTAAACATGTATTCCTTCTTCCTGCCTTTTTTCTCTTTGTCCTCCGGCCATAAGTAATACTCTGCATAATCACTCCCTCCATAAAAAGGCAAGGTTCTGCCTTCTTGGTAGCATCCTGCTAGAACAGTTTGCTCCACGACACCCGTTTCTTTGTCAGTGTGGTGTTGCCTTGCTGCAACAAATTTCCGTTAAAAAAATATCTCTACAGGGCCTCCCTGGTGGCACAAGAGGTTAAGACTCAATCTATGAAGCAATCAGCAGCTTCTGCAGCATGAGTTCAATTTGCTGGCCCTCAGGGATCAACCCACATGGTGCAGCAGATCTCTCCTGACTGGCCTGCTGCTCCCCTCAGCAGTGAACTTCAGTCAATCTGCCTGTTCTGTTCCCTGCCCTGTCTCTGGAGAATCCTCTCATCCCCCACACCTCTGGGCTATACCCCAGCTCTTGTCTCCATAAAGAAATAAATCTTTAAAAAATACAAATCTGTTAGAATTTGGTAAACCAGAGATGACTTGGATCAAGAAAGCACACCCAGCATTCTCTGTCCTAAAACAAAATTCTGAGGCAGAGGAGCACAAACTCACCAAAGATATAGAAGACATAAGGCCATCCTATGGTGTCGCAGAGGAGGCCTCCGACAGAGAGGATGACGAAGCTTCCCAGTAATGTTCCTACAGAAGAAGTCAGGGTATTTCACATGAGGGCGTCAGGCTTGGGACTCTCTATGCCTCCTACAGATTGAAACTCAACCAAGATGAGTTCCCAGAGATTAGTGATAAAAGCTAAAATCCAGACAACCTGCTTTCACTTCCCGCTCCTCCACTCAGCAGCTGTCTGGTGATGCAGCACAGGGCTGACAATTAGGGTGCCAGTTACCTGATTGAGCAATGGTGATGAGCTGACTCCTTTCCACTGGGGGAGCCCATTTGACCCAAATTGAAAACTGACCTGTTAATACCATGGTCTGTAAAATAAAAATAAAAGTTTCCTTCTTAGTATCTGAGGTCAATTTGGAACCCATGATCTACTCACAGTAAAAATCTTGGTACCTGGGCTATGCCTTGGACAACCCGAAGGACAATGAGCAAGGTCACTCCAGTATCAGCTGCCAGTGGACAGAAGGGGGTCAGGACTGAGGAAATGACCAAGCCAGCACCAACCACGTACTTGGCTCCAAATATTCCAGCCACATAGCCACTAGGGATTGGCGCCAAGATTGTGCCATAGTTGAGTGCGCTGAGGATGATTCCCTGGATCTCAGGATTCCAGTCATAGACAGGAGCCTAGATGAAGACAGCACACTACTGCACTACTGTTAATCTTTGGACTAAGAGGCAGAAAATGGTAATAACTGGCAGTTTCTTTTCCTTACTCTCAATTCCTCTAATCCAACAATTCTATCAAGCAGAGAGAGAGAGAGAGAGAGAGAGAGAGAGAGAGAGAGTGAAAGTGGGAGAGAGAGATAGAGAGAGAGAGAGAGAGAGAGAGAGAGAGAGAGAGAGAGAGAGAGAGAGAAATTCAACCTAATCTTTCCCCGTTCACAATTTCCCTGCCTCCCCAGATAACTTACCAATTAAAATCAGAGCCTAAAAAGAAAGAATCCTATAAATGAGCAGCATCTCCAAGATAATAAAAATAAGGTGAAAAAAGTGGAGAGCATTTAAATCTGTGAAACTTCTATGTAGATATTTTCACCATTTTAGGGGAAGAATTTATGTGCACTGAATGACAGAATCAGTTTCCTTCATTCTAGGTGAATCGATGCTAACACATAGACATTAAATAGGGATATAAGCTCCCTAGATATTTTGTTCTATATAATTCCTGGAACATATTAGATACTCAATAAATAAGCTTCTTTTTAAACCATTTGAATTGAAGAAACAGTCCACAGTCTCATTCAACTTACCACTGCCTTGAGTTCCTGTGGAGTTTCATTCCTGCTATCTGGGGCGTCAGTAGGAGGCACGTCTGTGGAGGCATTGGGTTGGCTGGGCCGGGCTGTGTTGTTCACCATAGCTGGCATGGCGATGCTAAAATTCATTTGTTGTGTGAACATTGAAAAGTTACAGAGAAGCATGATGAAGGCCAGCCCATATCGGGCTGAGCAACAGCCTGAGTGGGGAAAGCACAGAAAGTCAATAAGAAGCTGCTTTATTTTGCACCCTCCATGCTGCAATGGTGTTGTTGCAGGATCACCTCATTTCCAACATTGCCTTCCCAAGTTTCCTACCTGAGAGGCTGGGATGTAGGTGATGCCATTTATGAGCAGGGAACATAGTATTTTGGGGGCTGGGTGATGAGACTTTAATGGTGGGTGAGGTAGAGAATAGAAGCACATCAACATCATCTTTAAATTTTTAGCTAGCCTTGCACAAAATGTGCCAGTGTTGCATGAGAGCCCTGTGGTGATCCCAGAGTTGTGTGCAGATAGAGATGGACAGGAGCTGAAGGGTTGATTGCATTGTCCTGTCCTCATGGCTTGTGGGTGCTGCACATTCTGGCTTCTGCCACGGAGCAATGCAGGTGGAGTGGCCAGTATTGTTTCCTGTTGTGTAAGGACACTCTTGGTAGGAGTTAACAGCCAGACCCCAATGTGAGTTTGTTTCTGGGAGCCTTTATTTGAGACTCTCCCATTCCCCAAGCACAAAAGTTAACAGTGAAATTTGGATCTCCCCCATATTCATTGGGCAGAATAATCTAAGAAGGATCACTACATTTAAACTTTGCCTTCTCTGAGCCAAGAACCAGGATGATGCCCCTTGCATTCACGTCTATTTTTCTCCCAAGGCAGAATTTTACAATTATCTCCACTGAAGTCCAAATGTTTAAAGTGTCTATGTCTGTTTTCATAAATAAGTCCTTTTCTTAACCATTTTGATTTGTTTTATCCTTTGGATTTAGATAGGAATAAAAAGCTGCCACCACGCACATACCCTTATGTGCAACCAATGGGAAAAATGGTTGTGTTTTTGCCCTTTGTAGCATTTATGTTATTTTCTGGTAATTTTATTCATTGGCATTTTTAAAAAATGGAAATAGGAAGGTTGAGAGGGGGCACACCTGCCATGTCAGAGTCACTGAGACTGATTTTCAATGACTCCAACTGCTGGTTGTGGATGGGATTGGTACCTTTATGCGGCAAGCTATCTTTTTCCTGTATTTCATTTTTGACGCAAATGCATGAGTTTTATCAAAAATATTTTAATCCTGATGTCAGACATTTGGACCCTCCAATTTAATTTTCTTCTGTGTGTTTTTGGGCAAAGTCACTGAGTTCTCATGGCTTCATTTTTCATCCTTCAAATGGGGTTAAAGATAGAACTTTCTCAAAGCAGTTCAGTGAGTATTAAATAAGTTCATAGGACTTCATTATAATTATTAACTGATGATATGAAACTACCTTTACATTTTAGAATGAACTCTTAATAATACGTTTTAATGAAAACACAGGATTTATTTTGCAAATACATTAACAAAAATGTCACATTATTATTTATAAAAGCTTAAGATGTAGTTTGTGCATGCATGTATGTTTTTTGGCCAGGTAGCTTTGTAAAGAGAGGGAGTTTTTGACTGCTCAGTAATATTCCATTGTGTATATGTACCCCATCTTCTTGATCCAGTCATCTATTTTTGGGCATTTGGATTGTTTCCATAGCTGAGCTATTGTAAATAGTGCTGCTATAAACATAGGGGTGCAGGTGCCCCTTGGAGTTGATTAATTAATTAATTAATTTCTGTGTCCTCTGGGTAAATACCTAGGAGTGGAATTGCTGGATCATATGGAAGCTCTATCTTTAGTAGGTTGAGGAATCTCCACACAGCTTTCCATAGTGGTTGGACCAGTTTGCACTCCCACAAGCAATTCCTTTTTCTCCGCATCCTCACCAATATTTGTTGTTGCTAGTTTTTTAATATGTGCCATTTTCATTGGTGTAATATGGTATATCATTGTAGTTTTGATTTGCATGTCCCTGGTTACAAGTGATGTTGCACATTTTTCATATGCCTGTTGGCCATTTGCGTTTCCTCTTTGGAGAAGTTTCTTTTTAGCTCTTCTGCCCATTTTTGGACTGGATTATTTACTTTGTTTTTGTTGAGTCTCATCAGCTCTTTGTAGATTTTTGTGATCAGTCCCTTAGCCATCTTACTTTTCCTAGTAAGTCTTATTCAAAGAAGCTTCACACTTATGGAACTAGTGCAAGTCTGTATACTGCACATTCACTTTCTGCTATTACTACAATTTGGCATAAGCTTGGTACACTTGTCACAACGAATGAACTTACACAAACTCATGCCACACTTCATCTTCAGACATCGTCACATCTTAGGTGTGTGTCTTCCTTCTGTCCCTCAGCACCATTCAGGACACCAGAGCATATTTCATTGTCATGTCACCTTTGGGCTACTTTTGCCTACAAGTTTTTCAGACCTTCTTCATGTTGGTGAGCTCGCCCACTTAGAAGAGTACCAGTGAGGTATTGTGTGGAATGTCTGTTACTTGGCATTTCTCACTGTTTTTCACGGTTAAACTGAGCTTACATGTTATCAAGAAGAAGAATATAGAAGGGTACTGATGCTCTCCCATCAGAGCATATTAAGTTTGAGTGTTAGCACCATGATTCATATTGTTGCCATGGAGTTTGATGACCTGTTTTGCAGTAGAATTTTTCAGGTCTCTCTACTATGAAGCGCCTTCTTTTTCCTCCCTGTCCACACTGTGTCCCGGGAAAAGCCACAAGTACAGACCTCACTCAAGTGGAGAGGAGCTAAACTCCAACATCTTTAAGTATGAAGATCCATAAATTATTTGGATTTCTTTTGCACAAGATAAATAAGCATTTTCTGTTCCTTAAAAATCTTACCAATGTTTTCTAGTGAATATAATAGAACATGATTTTTCTGTTTAAAAAGGGACAACTTTATGACAACTTCCTCTGATCTTAAATGGTTTTTTGATGATGACTTTTTTCTTTAAAAAAGTTTGTTATATTTGCATCAAAAATTCTGAAATTTACCTATTCCCCATAATTTGCATGAATTTTGAATTCTTCAGTCTCTCTTTCCCTCATGATTGCTGATGTTCAATCTCTGCAGATCAATAGAGGAATAGATTGCTAGCGTTATTGGCATGAATGCCAATATCATTGTCAAAGTATCAATTCCCACATGCATTTTTCATTTCAATGCCATTCATATGTTTCATTTTTTCCACATTAATACTGTCTATTTTGCTGTTTCACATACTTCTCCTTGAAATTATAGACTCTGCTATTGCATGTTTAAGCAAGAGTTTCTCTATGACATAGTATAGCAAAAACTGTAAGTTGTAATATGGATGAGAGGAGGAGGAAAAGCAACCCTCTGTGCTGCTGTAGAGGGAAAGTGGTTCTCTGAGCAGACCTGAATCAAACATGAGCAGGGAGATCTAAAGGGATGTCCTCAGGGACTTAGAAGCAGAAAGACCAAGACCGGTTTCCTATTTTTTTGGGCTTTTTTTTATGATTTATTTATTTATTTATACAAGCACTGGTCAGTCAGAGGCATGGGAGGGTGAGAGAATTCACCAGAGCCAGAGCGGTGAGTAGAACAGGCAGACTGATGAAATACATTGCTGAGGGGAGCAGCGGGCGGCAGGAGAGGTCTGCGCGCCACGTGGGACCCTCGCCCTGTGGCGGGGGATCCAACTGGTACTGCAGAGGCTGCGCCAGTGCTCAACTGCTGTGCCATCGGGGAGGCCCTGGTTTCCTATTTTCTCCCAGACCATCTACTCTGTGATTTTTCCTTCATCTATAAATAATGACTTATCTACCTGTTCTCTGTAATGTCCAAAGTTCTCTTAATACATTAAATAATTATCAACAAATTGGTTTTCATTTGTGTAGAGTTCTTGACTCTTGGGAGTAGCAAAAAGATACAGTATTTGTCAAGAAAAGAAAGTGATATAGACCAAGATTTATCTATGACCAGTATATGATTTTACCTTTCTTGGGCGTTTGTGCTGGAGTCACGCTTAAGGTCACACCTTCAGAAGCCTCTCCCTCTGTTGCCATGGCTTCTTCTCTAGTAGACATGCTGCTTCTCTTCTCCCAGTTACCAGAGTTTAACTACTGAAATAAAACAACACAAGAGCAAACAGAGAGAAGGGAGTATCATATATGTGACATAACACCAAGTCTTCCAAGCATTGGGGGAAATGCTTTGTTGTTGGGAATAGTGTTAAGTTAGGGTTCAAAAAACTTGCTTTGTCATCCAGACTCTCTCACTGGATAACTGTGTGGCTTTGGGAAGGTCCCAGTTACCCTGCCTCTTCATCTCTGCCTCTTTAATGAGGGATTGCCCTGGACTGTTCTGGATTACCCTGCTGAATTACAGTATTCTTTCCAGTTCTGCATTCCCATGTCTCTCAACTGATATGGCAGCAACTGGATGGTAAAACTTGATAACAGTCTTTGAATTTTTTTTTTTAATTTTACTTTTTCTTTTTTAAAAAGATTTATTTATTTATTTATACAAGTACTGGGTATAGTCAGAATTGCGGGAGGGTGAGGGAATTCACTAGAGCCAGAGCAGGGAGCAGAACAGACAGACTGACAAAATACACTGCTGAGGGGAGCAGTGGGCGTCAGGAGAGGTCTGCATGCCATGTGGGACCCTCGCCCAATGTTCAGGGATCAAACTGGCGCTGCAGAGGCAGCTTCACAAACCAGCACTCAACTCTGAGCCACCAGAGAGGCCCAGTCTTTGAATTTTTTAAATAAAACCTTAATGATTACCAAATATATAATAGTCTATATTTATATATAAGCCACCTCTTACCTACCACTGAAGTTTATCTATGGGATTCCAGTGGATTAAATTATATGAAAAGCTGTCTATTATAAGCATCATTATATACAAGATAAGAAAGGCAAACACCTTTTATTTTTTAATAATTTTTACAAGAGTTTTAGAGTTTGCATCACATGCATGTCTCAGAAGGGTGGCAAACCCAACTCCCCAGGGACAGAAGATCCTGTGCTCAGGACCCCCAAACCTCACCCAATGTACCTCTTCATCAAACATTCATTTTTAATACCACCATTAATGGGATAAATTAACATCTGTGACGCTTGATATGAAACACAGAGAAAGGCACCAACTCACTTCTGTGGTTCTTCTGCCAAGAATGAATATCTTGAATCTATTTACTGGAAAATATATTTAAAAAACCTGAATGCCACAAAATAACTGACCTCAGATCTGCAAAAAGGTCAAGGTCATGAGGACTAGAGCGACTGAGGAACTGAATCCAGGTCAGATAAAGAGGCATTGAAGTAAATGCAACATGTGATCTCTGATTGGGTCATGAAAGGAACAAGCATTTTTCTTTTGATATAAATGACATCGCTGTGGGAGCTGGTGTGTTGACTTAATTACAGTATTATAGTAGTAGTAGATTTCTAATTGTATAACTGTGCTGTGTTTTTTAAGAGAATGTCCTTGTTTTGTTTTATATTCCCCCACTGTCCTTTGTATCCCATGCCTTTCTCCTCTCCATCAGCAAATACCTTGGGTATTCGTTAATGTCTACTCATTTTTGAAAGTGTTTTTATTATCGAAATATCTACTATGTAAATGTCCATATGTAGACATAATTTTGTGGGTTATGATTATATCTTTACTTGAAGTAACTATTCCTCATTTACATTCTCCTTCAGTGTATGTCTCCACACCACACCCATCACCAAGGCACCCGAGTCTTCCACTGCAGTTCATTGGGATCCCTCCACACTGCACTCTCCACCTCCACAAGCATCACCTACAGTCACATTTGGCAGGTTCTAAGAACCAGTTTTAAAAAATCACTTGTGCGAGTGTATAGAAACAAGATAGAAGAGAAAGACATCATAATATAATCCCATCTATAGTCACATAAAAGTAATTAAATTTCTAACACTAAACTGAAAAGAAAAGGTGGAAAACCTGTACAAGGAAAACTATAAGTCACTGTAAAATAAATAAGAAAACACAAAGAATGGAGAGATATTCCCTTCTCGTGGATGGGGAGAATTATCATGGTTAGAATGGCTGTCTTAACAAAGCAATATACAGATTCCATGCAACCCCTTTCAAGGTTTCAATGACTTTATTCAAAGAAAAGGAGCCAACACAGCTGAAATCCACAAGGGAGTACAAAAGACTGAATGGTCTAGGTAATCTTGACCCAGAAAAGACCAACTTCACTCTACTGTCATCTTCTACTCCTCCTTCACTCCAGCAGAGCCTTCATAAGATGCACAACTGACTGAAAGCAATGAGTGACATTTGCTATGAGAAACCGAGAAGAATGAGGGTGGCTGAAAACTAGCATCAGAAGCAGAGAGCAATTCCTTTCCACCTCTAACAATTATTCTGACACTGGTTGAAGGAAAAGGTTCTATTGGCTGTCATGGGAACGATGACAGGGAAGCAGCTCTGGGGAACAGCGTTCCAGGCAATGGAACCAGTATGTTTGTCCTGTTTTTCTTTTTTTTTTTTTTAATTTATGCAATAGCTGAGGTACAGGACAGAGACATGGGAGGGTGAGAGGATTCACCAGAGACAGAATGGGGAGAACAACAGGCAGAAGGACCGAAGCACACTGCTGAGGGGAGCAACGGGCGAGACAGGAGAGGTCTGCTGAGCCATGTGGGATTATCCCTGGCCAGCTGGGAATCGAACCGGAGTTGCAGAGGCTGCTGACAGCTTCACAGCGCTGCGCTCAACCTGCTGCGCCACAGGGGAGGTCCTGTTTGTCCTTTTTTTTTTTTTTTTTCCCCAGGTAGAAAGTAAATGTTGTGGCCAGGGCAGAGTGAGCAAGGTCATGATGTTAGTTAAAATCAAAGTAGTAGCCAAGACAACACTATGCAGGGGTCAATAAAGCATATGGAGGGCAGGACCGGCCACTGTGTCGTTCATGTTCTATTTGGAGGAAGAACCAAGAGAATACAGAGGTGGCTCTTGTAGTCACCTGTGTAAGTGTTGGTGGAGACCTGGCACAGTGATCACGGTAAAAGAGACCCCACTTGGAATTTGTTTTGAAGACAGAATTCATCAACATTGCAATGAGGTGGGTATGGGGTGAGGAAGAGGGAGAGGAGGGACCATTTAGAGACATCTAATTGATGGGTGACTTGAGCAAATGAGTCAGTGGCATTGTGTTCAATGATGAAGGGAAAGTGAGTGGGAGAACAGCTTTCCAGAAGCAAAAGAAGAGATCACCTTTGATATGTTGGGTTTGAAGTATCTGTTAGTCTCAGCAGATGGGACATTGCCAAGTAGATATCACGTGTATGAATTTATAGCTTGGGTAGAACTGTAACTTGAAAGGCATCTCCCTTATCCCCATATTTAGAGATTAAGTAAATGAGGAGGAAATGGCAAAGACATTAAGCCACTCTTAGATGAATTTACTCAGTGTCCCTAGCCGAGACTGACTCTGAGACTATTTCATTCGCATTAACGTGTATGTTGTTCTGCTATTTGAGAGCTCATTGTAGAATGGGAATGAACTTTAAGGTATCATGCAGAATTCTCCAGGGCTCAAAATTCTGTTAATTTAGTTTCTACACTGAGTACTTTCTATGGATGAGTAACATACCAAGTGGGTCTTAATCTTAGCTGCAAAAAAATTCCTTTGCACCCCAAATCTTCACCTGTTAATCACTTTGCAAATATGGGATTTCACTGTGTTTACTTCCTCCCAAACAAAATTCACTGGAAAGTTCTACTCTGTTTTTATAAAGTGCTGCTGACTATCTTTTTCTGCCCAAGTTGAGCATTTTGTTATCAGCAAATTCTTTTTCTACAACACTCAAAAACAAACATGACATATAAATATTGTGCAGCAGGTAATTTAGCCCATTTCCAATATTATGTGATGGTAACCCTTTAAAATATACTCTAAAATTCTATGGGGACTACACCAGGGGCAGGATGGGGAGGTGGGGGAAGCAAACATTGCTTAAAAATAAACAATGATGTAAAAATAAATAAAAAGAAAATCAATAATAAGTATTTTATCTGGAAAAAATAAGATAAAATGTACTCTAAAATACCGTTTCGCCTTCAGATTAAAATATTTCATATATGTTCTCTGCAGCTATCAGATGATTTTATCCCTAGTTTTCTGGGTTGCTTATTTAAAATAAAAGTGGCTTTTCCTTGTTTTTCAGAAGTATCTCAGGATAAAGGTATTCTCTGGTCAACCCAACAAGTTCTACTCCAAGACAGGAAAAATGACACCCTTCCATTTTTCTCAAGGCAAAAGCCCCATCAATCATCTCAAAAGCAGAATATTAAGGGGAAAAGACTGAAGACTTACCTTGAGGTGGAGTGCAGCATCCTCATTCCCTTCAAATAATCTCTAGAATCATTCTTTAATGTTTACAAAATTTTCTCTTCCAAAAGTAAATGATTACCTAAAATCTTTAGTTATTCCATTACCAAATGAAAGAAATTTATCTGATTTATGGTTTAATTTTAACTTTTGTTTATGAGAAAATCTCCTGCATTCTACAAACCCAGACTGAGGTCCCTTACATCTAACTAATTTCCAGTCAGCATTAGTGTGGTTTCTGATCCTCTCTGGCCTCTCCGTTCAGCACTTTCCCCTTGAGGGTTCTCTTGCTCTTTTTAAATTCCCTTTTGGATAGAGTATATCTTGTCCTATTCAGAACTCTCCCCACTATCCACCTGTTTAAGGAGGGATATTGTCCATAAAGTGGTGTCATAATATGTTTTACTTGACCAAGATGATCTTGGTGATCTTCTGATTACAGGTATTTGCACAAGGTTCTTGAGTTTTCCATGAACATTGGCATCTTGTTATTTCTTCCAGTTGTCACCTGAGCCTGTCTGGCTTATAATATAGGTTTTTTTTGTTTGTTTGTTTGTTTTTTTCCTGAAAAGAACTATAGCTAAGCTATTGTTTTGGGAATTTTATAGGTTGTCTATTTGTTTCTCAAGTCGACAATAA